CTGATGCAAAGAAGCCTGACGACTGGGACGAGGACATGGACGGAGAGTGGGAACCTGCTATGATTTCCAACCCAGAGTATAAGGTAAGGCTTTTATAGCTGAGGACACAAGCTGGAGCTTTTATAGACAAGGTGATTGATCACCATTGGAAATGCTTTTACTGGTGTTGGTGTTAAGAGTAGGGGGGTGATATTCTGATGGCATTTCTTCTATCAGGGAACTTGTCTAATAACCAGTATCATCATTAGTCCTAACCTCTGTTGTATTCTCTTTAGGGTGAGTGGAAACCAAAGCAGATTGACAACCCTGACTACAAGGGATCCTGGGTCCACCCTGAGATCGACAACCCAGAATACACTCCTGATGCCACCATGTACAAGTTTGATAACATTGGAGTGCTGGGCCTGGATCTGTGGCAGGTAATGATTACTACTCACCCACTGAATGCTGTAATTACTGTTTCATGCTGTGTGCTAGAATGATGAAGTCAAGTTGAATAAGATGAGAAGAAGAATAATAATTCATGTTTGAGTAAATGAGTAATGTTAATGTGTTTGCTGTCTTTGTTCAGGTTAAGTCTGGAACCATCTTTGACAATTTACTGATCAGCAATGATGTCAAAGAAGCAGAGGAGTTTGGGAAGGAAACCTGGGGAGCTACTAAGGTAGGACTGTACTTGAATACTATATGTAGAACTTATACGCTATACTTTGTGTTCTAGACTAAGTAAAACAGTATTTATATATATATATATATATATATATATATATAATATTATTATTTTAAATGTTTATTGACACAGGGTTTGATTCACAGTGGCACTAGGATCGAGCATCGTTTGGGGTTTTTTGTCAGCAACATCAAAGATTAGCTTTTTAATTGCTAAGACAAATTTGAACTTGAGATTGAACAATATTTTAACAGTTGAATATATTAATCTAAATAGAAAACACTTATAATTAATTAATTAATTAATTTACACAACAAAATTTAAAAAAGATAAAAAATAAAACCTAACCCACCCACATTAATTTAACACTGAACAACACTTACAGTTCTAACTGCAAAATACATTTTGAGTTGGTATGTTACAAACTCAGTTTCAAACATGCACAATTCTTTAGCAGAAAATTATATTTGCTAACCTGTGAAAATGCTGCTGTCGTCATCATCATCAGTTGTCTCTAAATGGCAAGTCATCATGACAAGTGACTCTAGTATTCATCCATCACACTGCCATGTGCTGGGCATGGGGTCACACAGGCAGCGGAGCAAGTGTCACACACACACTGACAATAATATGTAATTAGTGGACAGAACTTCTGGGTCTGAAGTGTCACCAGTGTTGAAGTGTCTTTAAACCTGCAGTCTTTCTAATGGCCAGCAGGGGGCAGCTCCATTAGCTGCAAAAAATAAGTATGATTGTACTGAGCCTTATGAGGAAATGAGCCTACTTCTTCCACTTTATTTATGAGCTCAGTAAACAGTTTCCTGATGAGTTTATGAACTCAGTCTCTAGTTTCAGTCTTATTCCATACAGCATGATGTTCATTTCATAAAATTCTGGTCCCATTTAGAGTAATGTTATGCTTTAGGGTGTGGCTATCTTGTGATTGACAAGTCATTTTCAGTGAGTCCGTCCAGCTCAACGCACCAAACTCAGATCAAACTGTCAAAGTAGGCAGTGCTGATCAGATATGACTATTAATAACAATATTATTTGCCAATATTGACCTATCACAGTCATTGTGTCGTATCAGTATCAGTGTATATGTTAGATGATATGATATGAAAACTTTTTTCCCCCTGATAAATTATATATATATCATCATTTCATGTGCTGATATGAAAAGTTATGTTTTTTCCAGTATGAAAACTGCTTGTGGTAATGTATTTGTGTTACTGCAAACTTTATCCAGCAGAATGCGCTGTGATTTACAATACTGTGGAAAACAGCACAGTAAGAGAGAAGAAGCAGATATCAGCAATGTCAACTAGAATTGGTTGACAATGTATATATTCAATTATTAACATGTTAAAGAATATTTAATTTAAATATTCTTGAATTAAATTATTTGTTGAAGAAAGCATCTTTCTGAGTACCTTTGCAGAGTCATATTGGAGCAAAATCCACATAGAAAAAGTCTCACAAATTCACGTTTTAGTCCACCAAATCTGTAATCGGCAGATTTTTCACTCTAAAATCGGTATCAGTCTCAGAAATCCTGTATTGGTCAGGCTCTACTAAAAAAGGCATGTTCACACTTAAAAAACAAATAAATGTATGTGGTGACTAAGTATACTACTTGCAGTGGACAAAATGGTATTTTTGAGTGGTAATACATGATGTTGTGCATGAAGAAAATATTTACTTGAGTTCAGCAGCATTCTACAATGTGACATAAATTAAAAAGTGTCACAACATCAAAAATACAAATACCCATCAAACCGTACGCAGTATTGTTACTCCAGTTCAAAACAATAAAACATGTGTTTTGTTTGCTCAAAAGGAACCAGAGAAGAAGATGAAGGAGGAGCAGGAGGACATGGAGAGGAAGCTGAGGGAGGAGGAGGAGAAGAGCAAGAATAAGGACACTGAAGGTGAAGACGAGGAGGAGGAGGACGAAGAGGAGGAAGACGAGGAGGAGGAGGAAGAGGAAGAGGGTGACAAAGAGATGGAGGACGACGACGCAGGGACAGAAGAGGAGGATGTCAAACAGAAGGATGAGTTGTAGAGGAAGGGAGCTGGTTGACTCTGCAGGTTCAAACTAACAACAGAAGATCAAGGAAAGCCCTATGGACTCTGGCCTTTCATACAGCAGCCTTTTATTCAGGTGGAGGGGCGGGGAGGGGTGGAAGGTGGGGGTCAGGTCAGATTTCTTTTTTATTGATTCCCTTGTTGCTTTTATTTTATTTTTTTTTAGCCTTCAAATTAGAGATTGGAGAAGGGTTTACATTTTTTTTTCCTCCTGTATGCTTCGAATTTTCTAATTTAATGTGATTTACTGGATGCGGTGTGTGTGCATCCTGCAGTTACCCACAGAGCCAATCCATTTTTATTACTGCGGTTTTTTTTGGGATGTCCAGTTAATAGAGGGTCTGTGATGTTCTCGTTCATGCACCTTTGTTTCTCCTGTGTGATGTGGAACAGTTTTTTTTTAAATTGACCCCTTCATAATTTATTCAATCATTACATTCATTCAGTTCCCAAAGCTCTGATTTTGGACCTGCGTCCTTTGTGCAACTCTTCGTGTGTGTGTGTGTGCGTGTGTGTGTGTGTGTGTGTGCGTGTGTGTGTGTGCGTGTGTGTGCGTGTGTGTGCGTGTGTGTGTGTGTGTGTGCGTGTGTGTGTGTGTGTGTGCGTGTGTGTGTGTGTAAAAGAGAGTGAGACTGCATTCGACAAACTGTGATTTTTACAATCCTTATTTTCTCATTGTTCTGAGTGAGTGACTGACCCGTGGGCGCACACTGTTTTTGAGTTTCAGTCAATAAATTAAAGCTTCTCTCAACAAGCTGACGTCTGTTTTCACTGGTAGTGCAAGTTGTTGGTGTGTGAATGTCTTATTTCAGTGTGGGGTTTATCGGGTAAAAACAAACACATAATATGTGGGTGTTATCAGTATCATTTTCAGTATCTGTACTAACAGAATGTTCACTTTAGCCTGAATGATTGATTCGTTGGTCGATAATATTGGCCTATCACATCAGTGTATGTGTTGATATGTGCAGAAATGAAGAGATACGTGTTTTTTTTCTCCGGTATTTAATGCAGAAAACTGCTTGTGGTAATTTACTAATGTTACTGCAAAGTTTATCCAACAGAGTTGCTCTGATTTACAATACAGTGGCAGCAGCACAGAGTAAGGGAGAAGAAGCAGCTTCTAGCAATGTTAACTAGAATTGGTTGACAATGTTCAATTATAGAACAACAATAATTAAAGCTGCAAGAAAAATAACCTTTTGTCATATTTTCTGAAACTATATCTATATTCTGACAGTAGAACATGAGACAGATAATCTGTGAAACAATCAGGTTCCTCTGGTTCCTCCTAGTGCTCCTAATGACATTCGCAAGAATCCACTGGGCCTGGACAAAAACAACCAATCGGAGCCAAGAAAAATGGAAATATGCTTTGAGCTGATGGCTTTGAAGTTGATTGTAGAGTTTAAGTCCCAGCATCAATATTTGTGAGCCTGAGAACAAAACTCAACAATCAACTATATCTCTTATTGGTATTTTTTTGTGAAAGTAATAGTGTAAGATTAAGTGAATATGACAATTTTTTTTAATAAAAACTACCTACTGCAGCTTGAACTAAAAAGTGTAAGAAAGCAGCCTTCTGAGTTTCTTCACAGAGTCATATCAGTGCACAATTCACATAGAAAAGGTTTATTCTCATTCCAGCTCAAACATTCTCTATATCGTAACATTACATAACCTATTGGTAATCTGGGAATGTTTCCCTCTAAAATCGGTATCAGTCTCAAAAAGTCCATATCTGTCGGGCTCTTGTGTCCACGGGGTCATATCAAAATATATTTTAGATTAAAATTAATTATTAACTATTGATTTTTTTCTGACTGGCTTTTGTGTTTTTTGGAAAAATGTGTATTGATCATGCTGTAACAACTACCATGGAACCGATGCAGATTTCCTTTTTTATCCTTGTTGCATGCTTGTTAATACATGTCCAAGAGGGGACCTGTAACGGACACACACTTGTGATACCTTTAAATGTGACCCCCCTCATTATAGGCTGAATATTTCTACAGATGTTTTTTTGTACATTTTTAAATGCTTGAAGAAGTAAAAATATCCACTAAAGGTGCGGGATTTTTTTTTTTTAAGTGACTGGCCATATGTTTAGTATTATGAAGGCATTCGTTGGGCCATTACGGAGTCAAATGAACCATATTAAGAGAATATGCAACTGTTTTATGGTTGGGATATTTCCGACAGCACGTGAAGACGGCAGCGTGCTGTACCTGTCCTCCGGCAGTAGATGGCGCCCCTGCCCAGCCTGCTCCGCGGCGCCGAGACAGCTGAGTCACACATACATTTAGAGCCAGATAAATAGATACTGTGCTAAAAAAAAGAGCGACTACAGTCAAGACATTGCCGTGAATACACCGGGTTTTTTTTAGCCAAACCGCCTCTGACTCCGCGTCGAAAAATGCTGACGATAACGCTGAAGACCCTCCAACAGCAAACGTTCAAAATAGAAATAGACCCAGAATTGACGGTGAGTAGAAGTTAACGGGGCTGAAGTAAACACGGTCAGGCCGGGAGGGCTGGCAAATAGACTGTAGCATACGGGAATGTTAGCTAATGTTTAGACATGGCCGCGATAATAGCTGTTTAACTCAACGAAGGAAACGGGCTACTTATTCTGCTTATTTGAAAAAGTAATGTAAGGTTAGTGTGACAAATATATGGTCAGACAAGTTAGCAATTCTGCAGGATCTTACAGTAACTGAGTTCACGTGAGGTAATGTAGCTAGAGGTAGCGACCGGAACTGAGCATGTTTACCTTCAAGATAAAAGCTCCACACGCATTTCAAACATGACCTGGGTATAGAATATTGAAACCAAAATGTGTTTTTATTTGCTAAATAACACAGTAGAAGATTTTTGGCTGACTTTACTTCTTCATCAGGATATTAATCGACAAGAGTGGAAGGGAGGCAGTTTATTTTGAGACCGACCGGAATATTGTTTGTACATTCTCTTAGCTTGACAGTGTTTGATTTGTTGTAGTGTCTCACCATGAATGACGATGCAATATTTGAAACCTCCCCTTTGTTAATGTAGTAGTGGAAAGACTGATTAGTAAATCTTTGTTAGAGAAAAGAATATAGCCTTTTGGAGTTTTCTTGTCATAGTAACACGCAGTATCTTATATGAGGTGTATTGAACTAATTATGTTTCCTTTGGTGTGTTATCATTAGCATCATACACCACAGTACTTAGCATTAAGCTGCTGTAAGTTAGGATAACATTTTTTGTTAAATGAGATCTTTTAATGGCGGTATTTTTTATATCTTTTATGACATATATATCACAATCACATCCCTTCTTTGTGCCACTGCTCTTTTTGTCTATTGTTTATTTTGTTCTTACTGTTTGGTTAGATACTAAACTGTATTTTGTTGTACTGGTACTTTCTCAGAATAAAAGAAAGTTGGTTTTTATACTTTGGCATTATTTGGAAAATTAGATTTCAAAATAAACGCAATACACCTTGCTTACAGTATTGCAATGTATCATAATATATTGAATGGTAACCTTTGTGATACATATCATATTGAGAGCCCTAGTCATTATAATTCCCCAGAGAGCTTATATTCTTCTTCCCAAATATGTTTATTGATTTCACACCAGTATTGTGGACAGTAAATAGTGATATTATATAGAATTTCAGAATGGACTCTGATTTGACAGACAGAACACATGAACCAGAACAAGAACACAAACCCACCTTTTTTTTCTATCAACTCCAACCCAACCCCACATTCATGAATCCACAGCTATCCCCTCCCACCCATATTCCCACGTTGCTCACACTGACCCTGGAATAACATTAAATAAAATGGGAAATATTATAAATAAATAAAATAAAATAAGTATTCATCAGACACTATTTGAAATTAAAGCTGCAAGCAGCGTTGAGCGGGACCTCGCACTCCACGCAACTCGGGACGTGTTGCAGCTGCGTCAAGTGCCGTCGCAACACGTGTGGACCATGACATGAAAATCTCACGTAAATCAGCTCAAAATCGCCATGCAGTGCTTACCTCCTGTTGCCAGTAGGTGGCGCTATCTCTATCTATGTCTGAATATTCTCATGTAGACGTGTTCAGGGTGGGACTCTTATCAAACACGTGAAGTTTCGTTGAGATCAGATAATGTACACTGAAGTTGTGAGGATGTGTTCAGGCTAGGACTGTTTCAGAATATATAAAGTTTATTGGAGATTGGACATTGCACACTGAAGTTATGAGTGCTGTTTTATGGCGAATCGGCTGAATTCGACAAGTCGTCACTGGCTAGCGGTTTGACGTACAGTCACAAATAGCTCAACTTTTCATCTAGTTTGTATGACCACAGAATTCAAAATGGCCGACTTTGACGGCACGCCACGGACACGCCCTTCAACGTACATGCACAAATAGCACAACTTTTAATCAGTACCATTTTTTGACTGTACTCACAAATTTTGAAGCAGAGCCGATAAATTCCCTAGGAGGAGTTCGTTCAAATACAACGCAAAATGTTTGCCTAAGTGAAAATGAAAATGAAAATGGCCGACTTCCTGTGGGGTTTGGGGTATGGGTCCAAGAGGCTTTTTTGTACATCTCGCCATGTTGCACGTGCCTACCGATTTTCGTAGATATCGGTGAAACGTGGCGCCGGGGATGCTTTTTTTTTGTCCTGTAGGAGGCGCTACAAACACGACAAACACGATTTTTAGTATGTGAGCTACAGGCACCACTCTACACGTGCCCTGTGAATTTCATATTCATAACTATTACGGTCTCCGCACAGTGATTTACCATGCCACCAGAGCGCCACCTAGTGGCGGCTTGTTGACACATTCTTTAGGGAGCCTCAGGGAGCCATTTGCACGCGTTGCTGAGATATAAACATCTTTATTTTAAAGAGCGCCACCTAGTGGCGATGGCCTGAAATTGTGCACGATGTCTAAAGAAGACATGAGGAACTATGGACCCAAGTTTGGTGTCAATCAGACATACCAATGTGGAGAAATGCTCCGCTTCCTTTTTTGACGAAAAATCCACAGGAAGTGTTTTTTTTATAATGTGCTTATTTTTTTTAATATCAAAATTCTTTGAATGACTTTTTTATAAGGACAGTCCCCACATGCTACATGAAAAAGTTTGTGCGAATCGGACAAAGCGCATGGGAGGAACACGGAAAAGTAGTTTCTGGACATTTCGCGCTCTAGAAAAAAAAAATCTAGGCGGAAGTGGGTGCGGCTTACATGGGGAGATTCAGCTCTATTCACCGAATGCGTGGATACAAGGTTTTTGAATGTGCGACAAACTATGCAGAAGTTATTAGCCTAAAGTCATTTTTTATGATAGTAGCGCCACCTAGTGGCCAACCCGAAAGCAACGCATAGAATATCCCCATTTTCACCAGGCCTGACGACTTTACCAAATAAAATTGAGTTTTCGTATATGTTCAGGGGGGCAAAAATGCAGTCAAAGGGGGCTAAAAATAATAATAGGTAAGAAGAAGAAACATAGCAAATACAATAGGGACCTCCAGCGGTCGCTGGCTCGGTCCCTAAAAAAGTATTTACCGGTAAGTAAACCTAATCTTTTCCAGTTTGATGTGGTACAGGATCGCCAGCTATTGTGTGAGGGGGGGAAGAGTGTGCTTCCACCTCAATAAAATGAGACGTCTAGCTAATAGAGTTAAAAAAGGCCAGAACACGCCATTTTATCAGTGGAAAACAGGGCTTAAGTAGGGATGTAAGAAAATATTGGAAATTATCATATGATGATATTTTGTTCTGTGATATTGTATGGATTCTCAAAAACACTATTAATTTTTGTGTTTAAACCCACAACCATTAGACTGCAGTGTTTTAACGTTAACTTAGGGCTATGATGTTGGATGTTACAGGGATACCGTACATACAATTACAGATCCCACTGTTCTGGTTACATAAAAATAATTTTATGCATATGGTAGTGTGTTCTTTATACTACTACTACTACTACTATACTACTTAGCGTGATACGTATCATATCAAATCAAGCTTTTTCCATTTGAGGCAGCTGGCCAAAATAAAGCCAATTCTATCAAGGCAGCACTTTGAGACGGTAATCCACGCCTTTGTTACCACTCGGCTGGATTACTGTAATGCACTATATGTGGGGGTTAGTGGGTCCTCCATCGCCCGTCTTCAGATGGTACAGAATGCTGCTGCACGTCTTTTAACTGGCACACGTAAACATGAGCACATTTCCCCCATTTTAGCCTCACTCCACTGGCTGCCTATTCAATTTAGGATCCATTTTAAAATTATTTTATTTGCTTTTAAATCCCTGAATGGTCTTGCCCCGCCCTACCTATCTGAGCTTCTACACCCCTATATACCCGTCCGCCCCCTCAGGTCAGATGATCAGCTGCTCCTGAGTGTGCCTAAAACTAAGCGGAAGCTCAGAGGGGACCGTGCCTTTGCTGTATCTGCTCCTAAATTATGGAATGATCTGCCTCTGCACATTAAACAGGCCTCTTCTCTGTCTGTTTTTAAAACCAGTCTTAAAACCCATCTCTTCTCTGTGGCCTTTGACACCTAGTAAGATGTCGACTTTATTTACTTGATTTATTTTTTGTATTTGTTATTTTTACTTTTTGATTGCTTGTTATTGCATGGTTATTATTTTTATGTATGTCTTTTCATTTTATTGTTGTATTATATGTTATTTTGCGCCTCATGTGAGCTGTTATGTCTTTTATTTATGATGTCTTATTTATTCTCCTGTACAGCACTTTGGTCAACTTTGGTTGTTTTAAAGTGCTTAACAAATAAAGTTGGATTGGATTGGATTGGATATTGCCAGATTCTTGTTGCTGTTGTCATGTTCATCATCATCAGTCACTACTATTAGTGTAGTTGTTGCTACTGTTGTTGCTGTGCACCTGTCTGTCTGTCTCTCGCTCTCTGTCTCTTTTTCTCTCTGTCTCTCTCTCTCTCTCTCTCACCCCAACTGGTGGAGGCAGATGACCACCCACCTAGAGCCGAAGGATCTGTCCTAGGTTTCTGCCTCTTAAAAGGCAGTTTTTCCTTGCCCCCGTCGCCAAGTGCTTGCTCATGGTGGTACTCTTGGGTCTCTTTAAATAATGTTATAAAGAGTTCGGTCTAGACCTGCTCTATTTGAAAAGTGTACTGAGATAACTTCTGTTTGAATTGGCGCTATACAAATAAAATTGAATTGAATTGAATTGAATTCTTGCCAATACACAGCCGTAGTCACAAGTGGCTCCAAATAGAGCTGTGAGGGGTTCAGGTTTAAGGTCCATGCAAAAAAGGTCCATAGTGTGCTGAATATTTGATGCCAGACATCAGTTAAGTTAGAGTATGGTTAGTGACAACTGTTTGCACCTATCACTGGAGTATACATCTTTACAAAATGGGCATCTGTAGAATGTACTTTAATATTGCAATAAGCTGTGCCTAGCACACACCAGAGAGTTTATATTAATGTAAATGACAAGTCAACAGAGCTGTTAACCAGTCATGAAGTGGTGGAGCGACATTAAGCCTCCATTTACAGAACATCAGCTTGTTGCCAACAGCTGTAGCCATCTTCTTATATTATTGATTAGACAGTCTAGACAGAAACCCCGGTAACCCTGGCTTAATATAGGTTTTGGTCAGAACACGTATTCTCTGGAGAACATCAACCTTTGAACAGTGAGACATGATGGTATGAAATTTCCCGCAACTACCATCAAGCCTTCTGCTGACCCTCTGCAATTATCAGTGATGAAGTGTAACATTTGGAGTTGTTTCAGTAGCTCTCCCAGTAATATCAGTGTTTCATCTGTCGTTGTCAGGTGGAAGCCCTGAAGGAGAAAATAGAGGAAGACAGAGGAAAAGATGCGTTTCCTGCTGCTGGACAGAAACTCATTTATGCAGGTGAGCCAGAGGATGAGTGACAGAGTTACAGTGAAATGTCATAATATACCAAGGCCTCCTGGTGGGTTTAATTGCCAGGTGTTCATAGGGACAACTCAACTGGAAATGTTTCAGTCAACTGTTTACTCACCTTTCAAAATCATTGCTTAAGATATATATGCCCCAGGTAACTTGGCTGTGAAACTAACCATGGGTGAAAATGGCTAAACCAACCGCAGTTTATAATGGAGCGGCTAAGAACTAAATTGCTTTCCGAGGTGTTCCACTTATAGAAAAGAATAGACAAGAATACTCCACTTCACTCTGTGGCCCCCACATCTTCGAATATTTTCTTATCTTAGAACACCTCAGGCTTAATTGCTCACTTAAAACCACATGGAACATATCGACTGAAACCACAGGAAGAATTCTAGAGTAGGAGGATATTATTAGTCCAAGGTTTGGCACCTAAACTTAAACAGGAGTGTGTGTCATATCTGTTGTCATTTACTGTTTCTGTTTGAATGTCACAGGCAAAATCTTAAATGATGACACCCCGCTGAAAGAGTACAAAATTGACGAGAAGAACTTTGTGGTGGTCATGGTTACCAAGGTTAGTGTCACTCGAGATATTTTTTCTTGACAACACTCTGAACTGAAATACTATTTTTTGTGAAGGGGCACACTGGTAGCTCACCTGGTAGAGCTGGTGTCCCATGTACCAAGGCTGAGTCCTTGCTGCAGCAGCCATGGGTTTGAATTTGACCTATGGCTCCCTCTCTCTCTCCCCCTTTCCTGTCCATCTTCAGCTGTCCTATATGATTGCTTTTGTCAATGGTACCCAGCACTTCCTTTTATAGATGTTTTACATTGGAAGCCTTCCAGTAGCTCAAAGAGAATCCCTCCCTGGAAGGCTTTGAAACACCTACAGGAAGTATAGAGTTTCTATGACGGTCAGTTAAGGACAGCTACAAAAAAGTAGAAAAGTAGAAAAGAAAGATAATTAGTAAATAAAAACATTTTTGTTTGTAGATCGCAAATGCAGACAATGCAGATTTCACCTACAGCACCCTTACCAGCCTGGTGTAGGTTGAGTGAAATGAATGATGTAGTTCTGCTACCTGTTTGGTCATCATATCCACACAACTAATGATTCATTTTCAAATGTCTTTTCAGCCTAAACCTGCCCCTTCTCCACAAGCAGCCCCTCAGCCAACTCCCCAGCCAACTGCAGCTCCAGCACCACCCTCAGCCTCAGACCCAGCACAAGCCTGTGGCCCAACACTAGTGCCCTCCACACCCACACACACAGCATCTGCACCCACACCTGCCCCGCAGTCAGTGCCTCCTTCTGAATCCCCGCCCCCAGCGGCAGAAAACACCACGCCTGCTTCTGCTGAAGCAGTAGCAGCCCCAGACTCAAACACTGCTTCGGCCTCAGATGCCACTCTAGCCTCTGCCCTGGTTGCGAAAGTTGATAAGACAGCTCTGACCTCGGTCCCTGCAGACCACCCCACCCCTGCTTCCCAGCCAGAAGAGAAGCCAAGGGAAGACCCTGAGAATGAACCGTCTGCCCCTGCAACAGTCCACCCCTCTGCCTCCAGGTTGGAGGAAACCTATCTTTATACATACACTGAGAGTTTAAGTCATTCTCTGGTTTTCCAAGAAACTTTCATAAACCTGGGTTAGCTAGGTCAGCTTTTATTGTGATAATGGGGAGCATGGTTTAGATGGATAATTTCTTACTGCATGAAAATACTTTACTGCTGCTTCTACTCTTTTCCTCGACTTTTCTCCTTTTCCACTCATGTTTTTTGTCACCTACAGAGAATGAGGATTATTGTTTGTCTTTAACAGAGCAGTATTTAGTGGTGAAAATCTTTTTCTTGTAATTTAAGAATGCTGCTGTAGCCGGATCATAAAACCCAGATGAGACTTTAACAATAAGACTTTTGCCAAGGTCCTGTTAGCAAGAAATATTAGTTGCTAGTGGCAGTGCAGTAGGGATGGCAATGTTATTATTGCAATATGTGTGTGTGTATATATATAATGCTCACTGTAATTGTTAGGGATTTGCAATGTTGATTTGAGTTTTTCTTTGCTCATTTCTCTCAAAGCCTCGTTGATGAACTGGGTCTCCTTGAAGAAGCAGCATCAATACTGGGTAATACCTTGTGTTTTTTCTCCCCTCTGTCATAAATATAAAACACCAATGCACTAGTTATACTTTGCATTTTCCTTTTTGCTTTAATCCTTAGTGCCTGGTGAGTTTGCATCAAAAATTGCACCCCTTGTTTTCAGTATGATAACAGCCATACCAGAACACACAGACATTGTACACTGACTTCTGGAATCAGCACAACTTACTCTGTCCAGTGACAGAAGTTTAGATAAAAGCCTCAGTATGCTTCAAATGAACTAGTTTGTATGATGCATCGTTCAACCAGTCGCTGTCTCAGCCTTCTCTTCCTCAGTGCATCCCACTGCCTCCCTGATCTCTCCCAAACAACTGTCTTGTTTGTGTCTTTTTAGTCTCAAATTGAGTAATTGTCCAAAGGGTTTAGTGGAGCACACTTAGACTGTCTGTTGGTGGTATTTTACTCAGTTAAATTTGGGTCCTATAGGGATCAAAAGAAGAAGAAGAAGCTATACTTTGTTAATCCACAATGGGGAAATTCTCTTTTCACTCTTTGTTTTACTCACACACACACACACACACACACACACACACACACACACACACACACACACAAAGAGTTGCACTAAGGCCTGAAATACAATCATGCACATGCAGGGCTTATGGACATAAATCAAATGTGGAGAGATGGTGGAGTGGTGGGCTGCCACGCAGCGGTGCTCCACAAGCAATTAGGGGTTGGGTGCTCTGTCTTGTATTGTCAAGAAAAATGTTCTACAAAGTGACTGGTAATCTTATAAATAAATCAAACAATAGCAATATTTGAGGATTTTCAGTCAGGATTTAGAGTTCATAACAGCACAGAGACAGCTCTGGTTAAAGTTAATAATGACCTTTTGATTGCTTCCGACAATGGACTTGTCTCTGTACTTGTATTATTAGATCTTAGTGCTGCATTTGACACCATTGACCATGATATTCTTTTACAGAGACTTGAGCATCAAATTGGCATTAAAGGAACCGCACTTAGCTGGTTTAGGTCATACTTATCAGGTCGTTCTCAGTTTGTACACGTTAACAATGAAACCTCCATAAATACTACAGTTAGTCATGGAGTTCCACAAGGTTCTGTACTTGGACCAATACTATTTACTTTATATATGCTTCCTTTAGGCAATATTATTAGGAATCACTCCATTAACTTTCATTGCTATGCAGATGATACGCAGTTATCTGTGGATCAAGCCTGATGAAATTAATCAATTATCTAAATTACAAACATGTCTTAAGCACATAAAATCCTGGATGAGCTGCAATTTTCTGATGTTAAACTCAGAAAAAAACGAAATTATTGTACTTGGCCCCAAAAACCTTAGAGACTCACTGTCTAAAGATATAGCTACTCTAAATGGCATTACCTTGGCCTCTAGCACCACTGTCAGGAATCACGGAGTTATCTTTGATCAGGACATGTCATTTAATTCCCACATAAAGCAGACCTCTAGGACTGCCTTCTTTCATTTACGTAATATTACAAAAATTAGATATAGCTACTCTAAATGGCATTACCTTGGCCTCTAGCACCACTGTCAGGAATCACGGAGTTATCTTTGATCAGGACATGTCATTTAATTCCCACATAAAGCAGACCTCTAGGACTGGATTACTGCAACTCTTTATTATCAGGTTGCCCCAATAAGTCGCTCCAATTAATTCAGAACGCTGCAGCACGAGTACTGACAGGAACTAGAAAAAGAGATCACATCTCTCCTGTACTAGCTTCTCTGCACTGGCTCCCTGTAAAATGTAGAATAGAATTTAAAATCCTCCTCCTCACCTATAAAGCTCTTCATGGTCAGGCCCCTTCATATCTTAAAGAGCTCATAGTACCCTATTACCCTTCTAGAACACTACGTTCTCTGAATGCTGGGCTACTTGTGGTTCCTATAGTCTCTAAAAGTAGAACAGGAGCCAGAGCCTTCAGTTACCAAGCTCCTCTCCTGTGGAACCAGCTTCCAGTTGTGGTTCGGGAGGCAGACACCCTCTCCACATTTAAGAGTAGGCTTAAGACGTTCCTCTTTGATAAAGCTTATAGTTAGGGCTGGATCAGGTGAGTACTGAACCATCCCTTAGTTATGCCGCTATAGGCCTATCGGGGGATTTCCCATGGTGCACTGAGCTCCTCTCTTCCTCTCTCTTTCTGCACTCATTCATGTTCCATTAATACATGTTACTAACTTCACTTCTTCCCCGGAGTTCTTGTGCTTTTCTCGTCTCGCAGGTTCTCATGGATCCTGGTGGAGCCTCCTGCCATGGTCCTGCTTGACTGCCATTGCTAATATTACTGATATTATTGTTATTATTATTATTATTGCTAGTATTATTATTACAGTTACTATTATTACTATTGTCACTGCTTATTGTCCCCAGTCGCTGTTGTATTCGTCATCATCTTCTTCATGTTCATCATCAGTCACTACTATTAGTGTAGTTGTTGCTACTGTTGTTGTTGTGCATTTGTCTCTCTCTCTCTCTCTCTCTCTCTCTCTCTCTCTCTCTCTCTCACCCCAACTGGTCGTGGCAGACGACCACCCACTTAGAGCCGAAGGATCTGTCCGAGGTTTCTGCCTCGTAGTTTTTCCTTGCCCTGGTCGCCAAGGTCTTGCTCATGGTGGTACTGTTGGGTCTCTGTAAATAATGTTATAAAGAGTTCGGTCTAGACCTGCTCTATTTGAAAAGTGTCCTGAGATAACTTCTGTTATGAATTGGTGCTGTACAAATAAAATGTAATTGAATTATATTGGTTACCATGATAGTAGAACTAGTTTATGCCACAAAGTAATTGTGGTGCAACTGAACTTGTAGTTACTGAGCCTCTAGTGTAGACTTTACGACATAAGTTAGGAGAGATACATAGCTGCTGCAACAGTGCAGGTTAATTAAAGGTCCAGTGTGTAACATTGAGGAGGATCTATTGACAGAGATAGAATATAATATTCATAGCTGGGGGCGGCTGTGGCTCAGAGGCAGAGCGGGTCGTTCCTTAATCAGAAAGTTGTGGGTTCGATCCCTGGCTCCTGGTGCCACATGCCAAAGCATCCTTGAGCAAGATACTGAACCCCAAATTGCTCCCGATGCCGTGCATCGGTGTGTGAATGTGTATGAATGTTAGTTTCTGTTCGATTGAACTTCATCACTGAGTGAATGTGGCACGAAGTGTAAAAGTGCTTTGAGTGGTTGGAAGACTAGAAAGGTGCTATACAAGTACAGGTCCATTTACCATAGCTATGTTTTCATTAGTGTATAATCACCTGAAAATAACAATTGGTGTCTTTTTGTTACCTGTTACCTGTTTTTGTTAGAATGAGCCATTTTATCTACAGAGGGAGTGGGTCCTCTTCTATGGAGTCATCCACATTGAACCTCTGTGTTTCTACAGTATCCCAGAATGGACAAACCAAAGGCTCGTTTGTACCATCAGCCTTTAGACTCCACAATGCCACAGCACCCAGTACCTCCAACCCCCACTGATTAAGACTGGTTTAACTTCAACCTACGACGCACTAACTATTTGCACATATCTATATCTTTAAATGCACATGTACAGTTTAGTTTTTAGTCATATGGAGCTCAAAATATTTTGCATACCACTTTACTGCATATTGCATATAGTGTATATATTTTTCATTATAGTCTCATATTTTCTATTATATCTTATAATATTTTTATTTTGTGATTCTTTATTGTACTTTTACACTTCTATTCTTTTTGCACTACATTCCCCTATTCTGCTGTGTCTGACTTGAATTTCTCCAACAGGGGATCTATAAAGGAACATCTTATCTTATCACTGGCTGTAGATAGGGCCTTTTGTGGGTTTTGCAGCCACCGTAGTTTCTCCTATATGCTTGGCAGACTGAGCAGTATTCAGTTGGTTGCATTCTGCAACTTCCCTGCCAGATGCCTCTAAATCCAACACACTACTCCTTTTAAAACATTCTGCATATTGCTTCAGGTGTTTTCTTTAGTATCAGAATAACCCAGCTGATTTCTTATACCACTTTCATACTAATTGATGGCAGATCTAACAAGCTGAACTTACTCTGAAAATACTTTAGTATGTTTAAGACATGTAGTGTTTAAGTCATCCAGCTTCCATTGACTCCCCCCTCTCTTTCCTACCTGTCTTGTTGTCTCCACAGTAACGGGACCAGCCTATGAGAATCTGGTGTCAGAGATTATGTCTATGGGTTATGAGCGGGAGAAGGTAGTGGCTGCACTCAGAGCCAGTTACAATAACCCAGACCGAGCAGTGGAGTATATACTCTTGGTGAGAATAGAACCAGCCTGTGTGCTTTATTCCCAGCCCTGCCTGTCTGCCACTGTATTCTACAGTGTGTACTAAATGTTTATGTACTGCAGGGTATTCCAGCGGAGGCCAATGATCTTCCATCTCAGGAGCCAGTTAGACATAGTGCTCCATCCAACCTCCTCACTCCTGCTACACAACAACCACGGCAGCCCCCAGCAGCCTCAAGTAAGATCACATCTTTATTTTCAACCACAGGAACTGTGGTCTAAATTATTATTATTAATAATTAATTACTTAGCCAAAGTGGACCCAAAAAATCCCCCGCTCTAGGGGGAAGTACTTGCACATAGGAGGATCGCGTTTGCTTAGTTGTCATCATGTGACAACTCTACAGCAAAGAACAACACGACTGAGTAGGTTCGTCAGATGCGTTGGAAAGAAACACAAATGGCCAAATTGGACTTTTAGTTCCTGAGTTTAGTTTAGAGACCCCTTAGTGCCTGGAACTACATTATACTCCTATTCATTTAGTATGACAGTAACATTGGTTGAAAAATGTTTCAAATGTGCTTTATCTGGTTACCCATCTGGTTATTTTGTCTATAAACCGACTCTCTGAAGATGTACTTATCACACTAAACAGTAACAGTAACCAGCCTGTCCCCTCCCCAGCAGGGCCAGTGTCTGGCAGCCAACCTGCCCCAGCAGGGCCAGTGTCTGGCAGCCAACCTGCCCCAGCAGGGCCAGTGTCTGGCAGCCAACCTGCCCCAGCAGGGCCAGTGTCTGGCAGCCAACCTGCCCCTGCAGGTGGAGGTTCTGTCTCAACAGGGAACCCTCTGGAGTTCCTGAGGAACCAGCCTCAGTTCCAGCAGATGAGGCAGATCATCCAGCAGAACCCAGCCCTTCTACCAGCCCTGCTGCAGCAGCTGGGCAGAGACAACCCGCAGCTGTTGCAGGTACTGCACCAGCACCACACTTCTGTGGCTTCTTGCCAGGGGTTAAAGTTAGTGAGGTAGGAAGATATCTTAGAAAACTGTTAACTGAGGAGTAAGGAAAAGAAGTCTGCGAGCCCAGGAAAAAAAATGTTTTAATGCGTGGACATTTTCTCAAAGATTGTCTCAAGTTTGAAAGGGCCTATTTGATCAGTTTTGCTGCTTTCTTACAATTGACTTAACTTAGTTGAGTGAGAAAAAATAACCACTGTGCCACACAAATCTATATATATTCTACATAATATATACACAGCCAGTTTAAATCATATTTAGAGATTGTGAATAAGGTTCTGCTACAAAAGTCTGACCAAATACATCCTCTACCATCATGGAGGTCAGTTTACCATGTCTGCTCTATAGCGCTCTGTGTCACTTTGGGGATGGGAACCCATGTATTAGCTGTATGCTATTACTGATATTGTTTGTATTTATTACTTGCAGCAAATCACGCAACACCAGGAGCGTTTTGTGCAGATGCTGAATGAGCCACGAGGTGGAGACACGGGAGGGGAAGGGGCCGAGGCCCAGGGGTCCCCGCACACCAACTACATCCAGGTCACCCAACAGGAGAAGGAGGCTATTGAGAGGGTCAGTTACCAGTGTGTATATGAAGTCCCATTGAAGTGTCTTGTTGTCTGTGCGAATAGGTACAAACTGGCTTTATTAATAGTCAGCTAAAGAACACAAACCTATGACATTTATTTCACTTTTCAACAAGATCTTGGACTGTACGGGAGGGGGAGAGCAAGGTGAGATTTTCCAGTAGTTAACTAATTGCGGATGGTGTCTCTCGGGCAGATTAAAGAATGAGAATAAAGTCATGCTCAGCACCTATTGTGTTGTTAGAAAGCCTTATTGTATTGATAACATAAGGTGTGGACTGCGACTTGCCGTTCTTTCTGGATGTCCTGATTTGAAGTCCTACTGCCTCTAGTTGCAATAGAATGAGGAGGCATTTAGTGCAAAATAACTCTAGAAAACTGTTGCTCTTGGCCCCTCCAAAATCAAATCTAAATAAAAAATCATGACTATTTTTTGCACTCAATTTGCTAGAGTTTGCTCGCTTGCTAAAGGGTGTGATGCAGCAACACCACTGTTTTAAAAAAACTGAATTGACCACTGAGTTAATCTGTTGAGAATTTGGTATATTCTTATATCCTGTTTTGCCATGTTTGCATGTATTCATAAGTGCGTGTGGCTTTACCAGTAACCGTCTCAGTCACAGCTGCATTGATGTATGTGTGTCTAACATGGACTTTTGTGTTTTGTTCCAGTTAAAAGCGCTGGGCTTCCCAGAAGGCCTAGTCATCCAGGCTTACTTCGCCTGCGAGAAGAATGAGAATCTGGCCGCTAACTTCCTCCTACAGCAAACATGGGACGATGAGTAACCACACATCACGTGACACATCACCGTCCAACTGAGGGCTGCAGAGTGGATGACAGTGCTGCACGAGGTCCCACAGGGAGGAACAAGGACAGGAGAGGAAGAGGACATTTTATTTCATGCCATGTGACTGTGGTCTGATGATGGTGATGATGATGATAAAGTTCAAAGTTAGCTGCCTACTTTTCCATTCTGCTGTGATGATCATCATAGGAGCTTACTCTGAGCTGTGCCTCACTGCTGCTACATCGTTACTGCTGCCGCTTGTGCCGAGTGATGTGCCCAGAGAAAGTCACGCCAGAAAATACGTCAGCAGTCTGCATCACCTTCACGGGCTGAAGGCTTTTATTTAGAGGGTTTCAGCTGCAGTCAGCTCTCAGGCTGCCGGTAGAACATGGTAGACTACTGTACATGCACAGTATATTCATCTCAGAGTGAGTGAATATACACATTCATTCACACTCATTTTCAACATGTGTGTATGCAAACCCTCCATGTTGGATTTATTGGAAAATGTGATGCAAACTGTTGACTGCACTGTTTGAGAGCTAGCATTGCTTTATATTAAAGTTCAGGTCCGACCATTTCTTCTGCTTCTTTTATCCTCTGAAAAAACATTGACTGAATGAGTCCAAACAGCACAAATGTGTGCTTCAGCTGCTGTTTTGACGTTTCGTTAACCATGCAGATGTGGTTTTATCAGTGGAACATGAAAACTGCATGGCGATTGAAATTGCTACAGGAGTATCTGAAACTTTATGGCCCGTTCCTACCAGTAAAAGATAAATTAAATAAAATGCTAGGAATGACAATGATTCAAAATACTTAAATGACTTAAATTTAAAGCTTCAGTAGGTAACTTTAATAAAAATAACTTTTTAGTTACAGTTGACTGTTGAGTCTCATTCTCAGGTCAACAAATACCAATGCTCGGAATGAAACTCCACAAAAAACTATATTCAAGGCTCCAACCCAAAGTGTCTTTCTATCTTTCTTGGCTCTGATTGGTTGTTTTCATTCAGGCCGAATGGATTCTTGCAAATGCCATTAGGAGCACTAGGAGGAACCTGACTTTTTCATAGACTATGGTCTCATGTGCTGCTGTCAGGATATAGTGAAAGTTTCAGCAAATATGAAAAAAGTTATTTTTAGAAAAGTTACCTACTGCAACTTTAAATCCAATTTTTGGCTAGAGTCCAGATTACAAGACAGTAAGTGAATGTCACTGTTTGAAGTTTTTTTTATTAGTTTTAAAATCATTTTGACTTTCTCAGAATTTTGCATTAGTATCTCATAATTTTGACTTAAAAATTAAAAAAAAGTTGACTTGTTGAATCATTTATTACTTAGTATCAAAATGTATTTACTTTCTTTATTTTGACTCACTGACTTTGACTTACTTCTGTGTCGGAGTATTTTTATTTGTATTATTTCCAACTGTTGCTTCTTTCTTTTTTGTTGATTATTATAATTTATTTTTCTTTTCTTTCTTTTTTTTGCAGAAATGGGCTTCCAAAATTTGTAGACATCCAAAGTTTGATCAAATCTGTCTGGGTGGTTGCACTCCATTTGGAACATTCAATCATAGTATTTTATCATTGCTTGTTATGTGGATTATGTGTGCTGTGGTATTGTGTTTAGTGGGAGAAGAGGGGACACCCAGATGCAGCGCTTTGCTTGTATTGCCATCATGGTCTTTTGCAGTGGTGGGTTTGTTTCTTTTCTTATTTTGCAGATGATGGTAACTGAAGGTTTATTGTGAGGTGCCACATAGCATGCTTTGTGAGTTTGACTTTTTATTTTAAAGAAAAGTTGTTTCCTTAGCTGGAATGTTCAAACATCGTCCACCAGCTACTTTCAGACAATCTGTTTTTGTTCAGTTTGTCTCATATCACATATTCTATGCATCTTAAAGCTGTAAGAGCCATTGCTCCTTCATGCCTTATGGGTTGTTAAAGACTTGAACATGTTTCATTTTACAAATGGTGTGGTAGTACAATATAGTGTTTCAGATATCTCACAGAGTGTCATCGAATTTAGAGTTTTAATTATTGATGATTAATCAGTTATTGTTTTGGTCACCTAAAGGGATTTTAGATAAGTGCTAAAAGCCAAAACAAAACAAATATTTTTTCAACTTTCAGCATGTGCTTTGCTGTTTCTCATTTTACTTCTCTTTATTGTGTTTGAACTTGAAATGACTGGAAGTTTTGTATTATATTGTAAATGGGGTCTACAATTTTGGGGAAAAGGCACTTTACTATGACAAATGCTGCTCTTTAGCTGTGAGGGGTTGTTGGTTGCATGAGATTGTTACAGTTATTTATAGCATGGCAGTGGGTTAGGAATGATGAAACCACCAGTGTGGTGTTGCTCTCATCTCAGTTTTTGTTTTGTTTTTAGGTTTATAAAAAATATAACCTTAAATACACCAGTTGAGGTTTTGCTGAATACTTGTGAAAAACGTATGTTTCAGCACTGTGTAAAATAAATGGCTTTTACAAAGTAGGTGAGGCAAGGTGATGTTTTATAAGGAATTAACATATTTTCACTGTGTCCACTTCTCAGGTAACTTTTAAAGCTGCAGTAGGTAACTTTTATTAAAGTTAAAGAATAGCATAATTTGAATTTGAATTTATTAGTTTGAAACTGAATTCCAATAAACTTGAAACTGAATATAATATTATGAATCTGGATTCACTTGCAACTGAAACTGTATTTGAGCCTCACTAAAAATTCAACTTTTTATGTACTTTCACTTTCAGTTTTCTCAATTCAAATTCAGTTCTCTAAATTCAATTTCAATCCACAAAATTCACTTTTAAGGTCACAGACGGGTCAAGGTCGTTCAGTAAGAGCAATCGAGTGCAGATGCACAGAGCTCGATCCGATACCGATAGTTATTGCGCTCCTTTCCCGCTGCTCCGTCCGACGGGTGGGGCGGGGGGGGGGTGTAGTGCCTTATGGCGCTCCTTTCCCGCTGCTTCTCTGTCCGACGGGGGGTGGGGGCTGTGCCTGGCTGTGCTCCGCGCTGTGACAGGAGCGGCACTCAAAGGCAGCGGCACTTACACAGCGACGGACAGACAGGTCGCCTTCGCAGCAGCGCGGACAGGACAGAAACTAAAGTATCGATCCCATTACACTGGTATCGATCAATATCAATACCAACGTTGGATCGATATATCGATATTTTGGATCGATCCGCCCACCATAACTGAACAGTGCCGAGTCGGCCGGAGAAAAAAGAAGACGTTACATTAGCTTGTAGGGATTGATTAATTCATGTTAAACTGTGATTTTAATCAGGACGCTATTTTTGGCTAGCGAAAAACATGCTTAAAACAAAATGTACTAACCGGAAAAAATTAACAGCCGACTCCTAATAAGTTTTTTCTATGTTGGGGCTCAAATTTACAGTGCAGTAGATAGAGTCACTCTAGGTTGATTGACAGGTCGACACAGACTTGTCAATCACAAGGTAGCCCCGCCCTTAAGCATACCCTGCTTTATCGTCTATTTTCCTCTAAATAGGATCGGAAGTTACACCTTTAAATGAACATCATGCTGTGTTGGAAAGGACTTGAAACTGACGAGATCTGACTAAGATCAAAAACTCATAAGAAAAATGTTTAATGAGATAACAGTCAGGTGTGAAACTTATTTTGCCATTATTTCTGATGGAACTGGGCTTCTTTATCCAGTGAAGTCGCCCTCTGCTGGCTGTTGGAAAGAATGCAGGCTTACTCTGCACTTGATTGCTTCTTCCTCAAGGACCTTGACCTCCCTGTGACCTTAAAAGTGAATCTTGTGGATTGAAATCGAATTTAGAGAACTGAATTTGAATTGAGAGAACTGAAAGTGAAAGTACATAAAAAGTTGAATTTTTAGTGAGGCTCAAATACAGTTTCAGTTGCAAGTGAATTCAGATTCATAATATTATATTCAGTTTCAAGTTTATTGGAATTCAGTTTCAAATTATACTATTCAGATTCAGTTTTTCAATACAGTTATTCAAGTTAAACAATACAAATTCAAATTATGCAATTCAAATTCAGTTTTTTAATGCAATTATTCAAGTTGAGCAATTCAGATTCAGTTCTAAATGATTCAAATACAGTTTCTACTGACACAAAAATCAGCCCATACAATTCATAACAGAAGTTATCTCAGGACACTTTTCAAATAGAGCAGGTCTAGACCGAACTCTTTATAACATTATTTACAGAGACCCAACAGTACCACCATGAGCAAGACCTTGGTGACAACGGCAAGGAAAAACTTCCTTTTAAGAGGCAGAAACGTCAGACAGAGGTGGGTGGCCGACTGCCACGACCAGTTGGGGTGAGAGAGAGTGAGAGAGAGAGAGAGAGGTAACAACAGAAGGACAGAGAGAGAGAGGGTGCACAGCAAAAACCATAGCAACAACTACACTAATAGTAGTGACTGATGATGAGGATAAACATAAAGAAGAAGATAATGACGACGACAACAACGATGGGGGACAATGAGCAGTGACTATAGTAATAATCGTAACTGTAGTAATAATAATATTAATAATAATTAAAGCTGCAAGCAACGATGGACGGGACCTCGCACTCCACGCAACTCGGGGCGTGCTGCGGCCGCGTCATGTGCCATCGTAACACGTGCGGACCACGACATGAAAGTGCTCACTAGATAGTATCTAGTGCGCACAAGATAGTACTAGATAGTATCTAGTGCGCACTAGATAGGTATCTAGTGCTCACTAGATAGGGATCTAGTGCGCACAAGATAGTATCTAGTGCGCACTAGAAACGTTTCATTTTTTTTTTTTTTTCCCCATGTCCCTTTAGGGGCTCCGTACCCCCTCACTGCAGTCATCACATATAATCAACAATGTGTTTTGCATTTTATAAGTACATTTCAGCTGGGTCTGATCATCCTGCTAGGAGTAGAACATGAAAGTATAAAACGTGATACTTCCTGTTGCCACTAGGTGGCGCTCTAACTATTACCGAATATTATCACATAGACATGTTCAGGGCGGGACTCTTATTGAACATGTGAAGTTTCGTTGCAGTCGGATCATGAACGCAGAAGTTATGACGAATCCCTCTTTCATGGCAAAGGTTTGAAACTGGATGCCACGGGACACCACGCCACGGGCACAATGTTGGACGACAAAAACTGACTGCACTGACCAATTTTGAAGTAGATCCAATAAAACCTGTAGGAGGAGTTAGTTAAAATAGAAGCCCTGAAATGCCAAAAATGTCATCACAGTGTGACATTCGTTTAAAATGGCCAAATTTGACGGCACGCCACGGACACGCCCTTGAACAGCGTTCATTCAGCACCATGTTTTGACTGTACTGACCAATTTTGAAGCAGATCCGATAAATTCCCTAGGAGGAGTTCGTTCAAATACAAGCCCAAAAAGTCAAAATGACCACAAAATGATGAAAATTAAAAATTGAAATTGCAGACTTCCTGTGGGTTTTGGGGGATGGGTCCATGGGTCTTTTATCATGATACACATGCGTAGCAATTTTCGTACATGTGGGCCTTACGTGTCTTGGGGGCTGATTCTGGGGGTCGTGGCTTAGACGTTTGGTAGCGCCCGTGCACGGGGACAATGTCATATCGGTATTTTAGCTACGTTTGAATTCTGTGCAAATTTTCATGCCATTTTGAGCATGTTGCGGGGGCCAAATATGCGGTCGAAGTCCCAGAGGTATAATAATAATTCCTAGAGGAACAACAGGGTCCTTGCACTTGTTAGTGCTCGGTCCCTAATAATAACAAGAATATCAGCAATGGGAGTCAAGCAGGACCATGACAGGAGGCTCCACCAGGATCCATGAGAACCTGCGAGATGAGAAAGCACAAGAACTCCGGGGAAGAAGTAAAGTTAGTAACATGTATTAATGGGACATGAATGTGTGCAGAAAGATAGGGGGAGGATGAGACGAGCTCAGTGCATCATGGGAAATCCCCCGATAGTCTAGGCCTGTAGCAGCATAACTAAGGGATGGTTCAGGACTCACCTGATCCAGCCCTAACTATAAGCTTTATCAAAGAGGAATGTCTTAAGCCTACTCTTAAATGTGGAGAGGGTGTCTGCCTCCCGAACCACAACTGGAAGCTGGTTCCACAGGAGAGCAGCTTGGTAACTGAAGGCTCTGGCTCCTGTTCTACTTTTAGAGACTATAGGAACCACAAGTAGCCCAGCATTCAGAGAACGTAGTGTTCTAGTGGGGTAATAGGGTACTATGAGCTCTTTAAGATATGAAGGGGCCTGACCACGAAGAGCTTTGTAGGTAAAGAGGAGGGTTTTAAATTCTATTCCGAATTTTACAGGGAGCCAGTGCTGGAAAGCTAATTCAGGAGACATATGATCTCTTTTCTTAGTTCCTGTCAGTACTCGTGCTGCCGCGTTCTGAATTAATTGGAGCGTCTTAATGGACTTACTGGGGCAACCTGATAATAAGGAGTTGCAATAATCCAGCCTAGAAGTGCATGGATTAGTTTTTCTGCATCCGTCTGTGGCAGGATGTGTCTGATTTTTGCAATGTTACGTAAGTTAAAAAAGGCAGTCGAAGATAACTCCAAGATTCCTGACACTGGTGCTAGAGGCCAAGGTAATACCATCTAGAGTAACTATATCTTAAGACAGTTAGTCTCTAAGGTTTTTGGGGCCAAGTACAAGAATTTCGTTTTCTTTCTGAGTTTAACATCAGAAAATTGCAGGTCATCCAGGATTTTATGTCCTTAAGACATGTTTGTAATTTAGATAATTGATTCATTTCATCAGGCTTGATTGATAGACATAACTGGGTATCAAGTAATTATTGTAGGTGATTTTAATATTCATGTGGATGTTGACAATGACAGCCTTAGTAATGCATTTATATCATTAATAGACTCAATTGGCTTCTGTCAGAGTGTAAATAAACCAACTCATTGTTTTAATCACACTCCTGTCATTAATGAGACATACCGTGTCATTCTAAGAATGATCTTAGCCTTAAAACACACCTTGTTTTATCATATGGCATTGATATTGAACATTTAATAGTCTTCCCACATAATCCTTTCCTATCTGACCATTATTTAATAACTTTTGAATTCATACTATTAGATTATAAGCCATTAGGCAAAACTTCCTACAGCAGATGTCTATCTGACAGTGCTGTAGCTAAATTTAAGGAGGGGATTCCTTCAGTGTTTAATTCAATGCCATGTCTGAATTTAACAGAGTCCTATAATGACTTTAGTCCCTCTGAAATTGATAATCTTGTCGATAGTGCTACAGGCTCACTACGATCAACATTAGACTCTATCGCTCCTATAAAAAGGAAATTATTAAAACATAGGAGACTAGCACCTTGGTACAACCACCAAACCCGCCAGTTAAAGCAAATAGCTAGGAAATCTGAAAGGAAATGGCCTCTTCCAAATTATCAGAATATCGCTCAAATTGGCAAGATAATCTTAAAATTTATAGAAAGGCCCTCCGTAATGCCAGAGGAGCCTATTACTCAGCACTAATAGAAGAAAATAAGAACAACCCTAGGTTCCTCTTCAGCACTGTAGCCAGGCTGACAGAGAGTCACAGCTCTATTGAGCCACATATCCCCATAAACTTAAGTAGCAATGACTTCATGAGCTTCTTCTATAATAAAATTATTACTATTAGAGAAAAAATTAATCACCAACTGCCATCAACAGTTACCAGTGGCTCTCCAAGTTCAGGGACTTCTGTCAATGTAAACTTAGATATATATTTAGACTGTTTTTCTGCTATCGATCTTCATCAGTTAACTTCAATCATTTCTTCATCGAAGCCATCAACCTGTCTATTAGACCCGATCCCAACTAGGCTGCTTAAAGAAGTTGTTCCCTTAATTGGCACTTCTTTACTGGATATGATTAATCTTTCTTTATTATCAGGGTATGTACCACAGTCCTTTAAAGTAGCTGTAATTAAACCCCTTCTTAAAAAGTCCACTCTTGACCCAGGGGTTTTAGCCAACTATAGACCGATTTCTAACCTCCCCTTCCTCTCTAAGATTCTGGAGAAAGTAGTCGCCAACGAGTTGTGTGAATTTCTACATAACAATAGTTTATTTGAGGATTTTCAGTCAGGATTTAGAGTTCATCACAGCACAGAGACAGCTCTGGTTAAAGTTAATAATGACCTTCTGACTGCTTCTGACAATGGACTTGTCTCTGTACTTGTATTATTAGATCTTAGTGCTGCATTTGACACCATTGACCATAATATTCTTTTGGAGAGACTTGAGCATCAAATTGGGATTAAAGGAACCGCACTAAGCTGGTTTAAGTCATATTTATCAGATCGCTCGCAGTTTGTACATGTTAACGATGAATCTTCAATAAATACTACAGTTAGTCATGGAGTTCCACAAGGTTCTGTACTTGGACCAATACTATTTACTTTATATATGCTCCCTTTAGGCAACATTATTAGGAATCACTCCATTAACTTTCACTGTTATGCAGATGATACGCAGTTATATCTATCAATCAAGCTATTTTTTTTTTTTTTTTTTTTTTTTTTTTTTTTTTTTTCTCCCCCCCCCCCCTTTCTTTTAATTTTCCCCCTCCAAGGTCTTGCTCATGGTGGTACTGTTGGGTCTCTGTAATTAATGTTTTAAAGAGTTCGGTCTAGACCTGCTCTATTTGAAAAGTGTCCTGAGATAACTTCTGTTATGAATTGGCGCTATACAAATAAAATTGAATTGAATTGAATTGAATTGAATTGAATCTGCATAGCAATGAAAGTCAATGGAATGATTCCTAATAATGGTGCCTAAGGGAAGCATATATAAAGTGAATGGAATTGGTCCAAGCGCAGAACCTTGTGGAACTCCATGACTAACTTTAGTGTTTATGGAGGATTCATCGTTAACGTGTACAAACTGAGAACGATCTGATGAATAGGATTTAAATCAGCTTAGTGCGGTTCCTTTAATGCCAATTAGATGCTCAAGTCTCTGTAATAGAATATGATAGTCAATGGTGTCAAATGCGGCACTAAGATCTAATAATACAAGAACAGAGACAAGTCCATTGTCAGAAGCAATTAAAAGGTAATTATTAACTTTAACCAGTGCTGTCTCTGTGCTGTGATGAACTCTAAATCTCTGACATTAGGAGCTAGGAGGAGCCAGAGGAACTTGTTTTTTTCACAGATGATCTTTCTCATGTACTACTGCCAGGATATTATTAAAGTTTCAGCAAATATGACAAAAAACTTCATAGCAGCTGAGTCACGGGAGCAAATGTTTAATTAATCCATTAGTTGTTACCTATTAAATTAATTTTGTTTGATAATCAATTAATTATTTTGAATATTTGTTTTAAAGAAATAAAAGTTCAAATTCTCAGATTTTAGCTTCTCAAATGTGAGTATTTTCTGCTTCCTTTAGTCGTCTATGACAGTAAACTGAATATCTTTGGGTTGTGGACAAGACATTTGAGGACGTCATCTTGGGAAACACTGATCAACATTTTTCACCATTGTCTGACATTTTATATAGGAGCCTGACTGATATATTGGCCAACACTGGCCTATCGCAGAAATATTAGTATCATTAATGGCTCATAGCCTATGTCATCCTATATGTGCCAATATGAAACAGTTTTTCTGTTATATAATGCAAAAAAAGGGTTTCAGTGATTAGTTAACCCTTTTTACAGTACAGTACTAATATTAAGCTATTTATTTTAATTTAATTTATTCTTTATCTTCTCAGTGTACATTTCTGGAATTGGTAGACAGTGAAGCCTATATGTTAAGTTAACGTGTTAAAGAATATTTTACTTTCTTATCTGCTTAAGAAAGCGGCCTTCTGAGTACATTTGTATTGTCAGATTGTTGCAAAATCGGTGTAAAATTCCTGCTCAAAAAAGTCGCTATATCGGTATTCAGAATTTTCCGCCTCTAAAATTAGTAAGGTATCGGCTCAACCAATATTAGTCAAGCTCTAATTTTATCGACCGACCAACTAATAGATTTATTGACAGATTAATGAATAAGCCTAATAAAAATCAGCGTTAGTTGCTGCCCTAGTCATGAATAAAGTTCATTCCATAAACAAAGAGTAAATAAAAGGTTTCCTTTATTGTGAACTTTTTTTTTGTAACTAGGATTCTACACAGCACCAGACACCAGGATTTGGAATTCTAATTCTAATAATATATAATAATATAATATAATAATATAATAATAGATGTTGTGACATAAACTGCAAAATTGTTACAGCACAGCCGCAATAAAAGGTAAAACTATTTAAACTGTAATTATTTGCTTGTAGATATTTAGGCCGAATTAAATCTGTTCCCAAAACGACAAATCAAAAGTGCAAAACTGTCTTTGATGAAGTTCATTATTTGGTAGATAGTGTAGTTAATATAAAATAAGCAGATTTATTAATAGGAGTTCAGTCTGCAATCTGCTCTCGGACTGTGAGGCACAGGTTTGTCCGCTAAGGGGAGTGTTGCCGTGGAGAGGGAGGGTGGGTGCGTTCCCGCAGCAACAGGGAAGATGGCAGCTCTCACATCTCTTACCCAGGTAAAGATGCAGCAATTTACAACTGTACGCTTGAAATTAAGGCTAAGATCATTCTTAGAATGACACAGTATGTCTCATTAATGACAGTGTATTTTAATTTCACTTGGCTTTGAAATGTAACTGAAAATAAGGCAGTCTGTTAGTCGAATAAGGCCTATTGCAGGACCGTTAGGTAGCGGGCTTGTTAGCCTCAGCTGGCATTAGCTAGCCGTGTAGCTATTTACCTACGGTATAACAGGCTGTTAACTCACTAACTACAAATTTAAAGATAATAAGCGCCACGGACACTGTATACAAAGTTGGGGTAAAGCTGGCCTGCGCCCCTATGTGTTTGAAAGCATCAGAAAGTGTGATAACGTTCAGCCCTTAAGCTAGCAAACCTTAGCTAGCCTAGCCTTGGTGTCCTGTAGTTAGTGTGAGGCTGGGGATAAAAGGATGCAGGCTATACAGTAGGCTAACCTCAGCAACCCTGGGCTGAGATTTCATTAATAATAATCATGCTGATGTGAGTTTGCACATTCGTCTTAACTAACGTTCACCGGTAGTCGAGGTAATGTTGGGGCTGATGAGCACCCGGTACCGGTGCTGCGTTTACGCAACAGTCCTATAATATGACAGTAACATATGTAACAATGCAGCTTGTTTGTGATTTATATCTTTGTTATTGATTGTGAACTGCAGGGCTCGAGGGCTTTAATCAAAATCGAAATTAGCTCTAAACGAGTATTTGGATGAGTTATTATTCTGGGCATACTAACGTTAGATATTTATTTCAGCTCGTTCAATTAACTGAGGGTGGTCATTTTAAAGATCGCCTCAAGACCTGTATTAAGACATCTATACAAAAAGTCTGCTTGGAACAATGATGTGTGTCTGCTATGTTCTTTCTGCAAAAAAGTGTAATTTCCACATTAAAATCCTCAAAAATTCATCTACTCCTTCTACCTTAATACAAATTACAGAAGCAATTCAATCATTTTTTTTGTAAAAGCACCAATTGTAAATTTGTGAAGCGCCAATTCATAATAAAAGTTATCTCACGACACAGGTCAAATAGAGCAGGTCTAGACCGTACTCCTTATAAAAGTATTTACAGAGACCCAACAGTTCCCACCATGAGCAAGCACTTGATAACGGCAGCAAGAAAAAACTTCCTTTTAAGAGGCAGAAACATCGGACAGACCCCAGCTCTAGGTGGCAATGTAAATGCTGTTCATTTCTAAAGTTTTCCTGCTGGACACAAGATGTCTCCTACTTCACTGTAAAGTCCATTCTCAGTGGATGTGAACTGGTGGCTTCAGGTTTCTACATCACACTGTACAAGTTGCATACTGGACCAGGACTGACTTCCAAACTATCTGTGACGTCACAAATCATGCTGGTAGGCCCCGCCCCTTAAAATCTGATTTCCAATGAGCACAGAGAAACTTTCCACTTTCAGAAGTTGAATGTGAAAACATCCTTCTAGTGTCAAACTCTGTACATACATCATTCAAACATCACACTGTGGGAACAAGAAGAAACACTGAGTTCTGACAGGAGGGGACTTTAAGTTGGATGTAAAAATTAGAATACACTGGTTACATGTTCTCAGTAGTTGTAGCTGAAGCAACCTCAGTTATAGAGAGAAATGCATGGGGTTCATTTATAGTGAAATAATATTCTCTCTCTGCCACAGTTGTCAAGTGGGAACCCTGTATATGAGAACTTGTACAGACAGGTAAGACGATGAGCCAAAGTATATTGCCTCTAAACTTAAACCTAAACCTGAAACTATGAAAGAGATGCCCACATGTTTGAGGGAGATTTTAATATGCCACAGTGCACTCAGACTGATGTTTGCGTTTGCTCCAAGGTGGATCCTGGGAACACAGGGAGAGTAGGACCAACAGAAGCTGCCTTGTTCTTAAAAAAGTCTGGACTCCCTGACATTACATTGGGAAAGGTAAGTAGTGGCAAAAGTTACACTGTTTGTTTTCTGCATAGTGGCTGATGGTGTCAGTGTTACTTCACACAGAGCTGGAGACGTGTGTTTGTTTCATACAGCAGGTGGCTGCTGCTTGTGGATTGTCAGTGGACTGAAGGCCAACCTCTGGTCTGTGGATATGCCAGTCTGTGTCTGCTGTCAGCATTGTTGAAAACTCCAGAAGAGTAAACTTTGCAATGCCCATAAGAGTATAATAGTCAGATCACTGTGTCTGTACACTATTGACACCTATATTGGGTAACAGTAGATCAGATTACTTTGTCTTAACTAAAAGGTGTTGCTTGTAGTTACAGACCCACCAGTTCCGCAGTTCCAGGTTTCAGTTGCAGGTCTTTAAGGTCATTGTTTTGTTTCTGCACAAAAGCTCTGATAAACCCACTGTACACTACCAGCCCAGCTCCAAACAGCACACAGGCACAGTTGGGACTAGCTGGTGAACATAGTGGAGCATTTAGATTAAGATGGTTTTCTCAGGAGTTGGCAGAGACCAAACCAGAGCTAAAAGAATAGTGAATGTTGGACTTATTAATGTGTTAAGGGGCAACTGCTAACATGTTATGCTGTATCAACTTTATGTGCTGGTAACGTCAGTGTTGTGTGTTTACAACAAATATTGCAGCTTTAAACAACTACCATGTTTGTGATTTGTGAAGTTAAAGGCCTAGGATTTCCCTAAGGACTTTCTTTAGCCAAGGTTTAAAGGTTTTCGTTTGTGGATAATCACCTGAAAATAAGAATCATGTTTTTGTTAGCTTAGATAGGCCTGCTCGTATGTTCTGCAGTTTCGCAGCCAACGTAGTTTCCCCTACACACTTCACAGCCTGTTTTATCAAATACAGCCACAAGTAGTGTTCAATCTCACATCTAGATGCCACCAAATCCTACACACTGGACTTTTAACTTCAGTGTTTGTTGTAATTCCTTTGTCTTTATTAAAGGACCAGTGTGTAGGATTTTTTTGGCATCTAGTAGTGGGATTGTTGATTGCAACCAACTGAATACAGCTCCCCTTCCAAGTGTGAAGGACAAACTACAGTGGCTGCCAAAAATGTGAAAGGCCCTATCTAGAGCCAGTGTTTGGTTTGTCCTTTCTGGGCTACTGTAGAAACATGGTGGTTCAACATGGAGGACTCCATTGAAGAAAACAAGACCAGCATCTGTAGATAAAAACAGCTAATTTTAAGGTAATGAAAACACATATATATCATATTTCAAGAAAACATACTGATACATATTATATTGCATTTATGACAATTGACCAAATTCAAGATTCAAGAAGCTTTATTTATCCTGAGGGAAATTACTGTGCAACAGTTGCAATACAAAGGTGGGAAAGTAATACAGGGTTAGAGTAAAAATAAGCTAACATAAAATAAAATAAAATGAATAATAAAATAAAGGCTAACATAAAATAAATCAAACAGTTAACTCAATGCAACAAAATGTCACACAGTGGAAATTTACGGTAATGTGACAAGTCATTCTTAGTAAGTCCGTCCAGCTCAACGCACCAAACTCAGATCAAACTGTCAAACTAGGCAGTGCTGATCAAATATGAATCGAGATTGTTGACTATTTCTCACCTCAAATCTTTTCGTAAACATAGTGTACAGTTTATCTGGGATTTGAGGGCGTGTGACCAGGTGCCATTATTCCCTGCTACGGACGAGTCAAAACCAAGCACAGCCAGTGAGCACAAGCTTAATGTGCAGTACCCTGCATTATGTCACCACCACTGGTCGCCAAAAAAAACCCCAAATTGGTGATTTGGTTCAGATGGGCCTGCCCCCACTGCTAAAAATAAATCCTAGAGGAAACACTTATAATGCATTATAATTTACATGGGATGCGTGCTTACATGTGCTTTATTTGCCAATGCAGCACCTTGCCAAAGGATGTTTGCACCAAAAGTTGAGCCAGGTACATTGCCTGACAACCTTGCATTTGTTTACTTTTTTCTGCCGCCTTCTGTGCCTGCGTTGTTACTCCCACTGTACTCTGCAACTGGCCTCATCCAACTGAATGAGAAAGTCGAGCCTAAGTTGAACCAAGCCTGAGGCACACTTGCTGTCACAACCTCCCCCTGGCTGCATCCCACTGCCTCCCTGGTCTTTATAGTCTTGGTATAGTGAATCATACAAATGTGACAGATCTGCATTGTGTCTTTGGCTAGTTAAGAATTTTATTTAATCACATGTCTTGACATGACATTGTTGCCTATTGACAAACAGCAGTGTGTCCAGGTTTTGATAAGAAGTTAAAGGTACCAATAGAGTTTTCCTTATAAATATAACAAAAAACCTGTGTGATACCAGGTAAATTCACTGGCTGTTTAAAAGGAGCAGACAGAGAGGCACTCTGTTCTATTTTTTGAAACATAAAAACTGGTTGTAAACCTTGGTGAACTGTTTACACGATGGACAAATTAGTGTTCTTAAGTAGAGATAGACCGATATGTTTTTTTCAGGCCCGATACCGATTATTAGTAGTCAAGGAGGCCAATAACCGATATTTAGAGCCGATATTCATTTGCAGCAAAAGGGAAAATATTGGCGTCAAAATTTTGAATAATACAAACTCCAACACTTAACTTCGTTTAAATGCCTTTAAGCACATGTTTATTAAACAGCTTATCAGATTTGCAACATGTTAAAGGTTTTTTTTATTTTAGAATTTTAAAACAAAGATGTCTATTGTCTAACAAAAAGTGCAGGGAGCTCCCGGGCTCAGCAGCATGTCTTATAAAGTTAGATGAAAATTTAAACAAATAAATAGCTCCCTAAAGTTTTCTACAGTAAATAAAGTTTTCCAAAATTTCAGTATAACTGAAATGTAATCTTTCACTTATCTTTGTTTTAAGTTCAAACAAAAACAAAAAGTGCAGGGTGTTCCCAGGGTCAGCAGCATCTCTTATAGAGTTAACTGAAAATTTAAATAAATAAGTAAATAGTTCCCTGAAGTTTTATAAAGTAAATAAAACAGAGTTAAATCAAATTTGTGAGTCTAAAATCAATTAGTAGTCCCAATTGAGCAGCACCAGATTGTTGTGCAAAAAGCAGAGTTGTTCAATTGAGTTTATTAGGTTTTTACTCTCTCACTCACACACAAACTTCTACTATCACGGACTATTTCCATATCGATATTATCAGCGACCTTGTTTCGAGTGATTAACAGGCACGTCTGGAGGGACTGCGAGCGAGCAGAGCTGCCGCTGATGTTTATATATCGTTAATGGGCTCACAGTAATGTTACTAGTAGTTGTGAGTTGTAGAGGACTGGGATGTTTATTACAATTTCGGGAGAGTCTGCTGCCTTAACTTACCTTCGAAACCAAGCCCCCAGGAACAGCGCCGGGCTTTGAATCCAGTTTTACATGGTGGCAAAACTTTTTCTCCTCTCCGCCGTGTGTGTGAGCACTGTGCATGCACAGGTTTCAATTTCACTGCTGATTGGCTGTTACCCGTGCCATGGCTCTGCGTGTAACCAGAGGGTGTAACCAATCAGATGGTGCTGTGGGTGGGACAATGCTGGAGACAGAGTAGTGACAGCAGACAGAGAGGCGCGGCTGCATCAGAGCCAAAATAACCCAGTTAGGGTTAAATTGATCTCTTATCGGCCGTCGGATGAAAAAAAATAAGGCCGATGCCGATATGCGCCAAAATGCCAAATATCGGCGCCGATAATCACTCAATCCCTATTCTTAAGGAGAACTACAGCAGCTTTTCTAGAACGAGGTTTCTAGATTACTAGACATTTAAGAAATCAGCTTACCTGGGGCGCCCTGATAGCTCACCTGGTAGAGTTCTTGCCTTTTCTATCACTCTTCAGCTGTCACTATTGATAAAAAAAAGTAATAAAAGCCCCAAAAAAGAAAAGATTTGCAGTGAAATTGCAGAATTAACTTTTCATTTCACTGTGTACTGCTGTGTGTTTGTGTCCCGTGTTTCAGATCTGGGATCTGGCCGATCCCGAAGGCAAAGGCTATCTGGACAAACAGGTAAGGGACAGATCACAGTCACACAGTGGATCACAGTGATTTTACCTCACATATCATTGTAATATTGTAATTTCATTCAAACTGGACAGAATAAAACTCACCAAAACCGTCTTTGTTAGTGTTTACACTGTTCCAACAATCACCAACTCTGCTTTGGCTGAAATAAATCCTTAATTCACCGACGTAGATAATAAAAACAGTAGTTTCAGTTGCTTTACACAGCTGCACATGGAGCAGACCGGCTGTTTGAACAAACCACAGATCTTTACATAGAAAATAGTTTGCTGCTATATTCATTTTTTAAATCTCTTATAACCTTTTAATAACAAATAATGTCAATGTGAAAGAAGTTGATGTTGATCTAACAAAATGACCCAGGTGTAATAAGACCTCAAAATGATCTAATGCTAGCATGTTCAGCTCAAATAAGAACAAATGGAAAACAGCAACAACACTAACTTGTGCACTAAAGATAGAGAATATTTGTATTTTTTATATTGCAGTATACATTTTTCTTTTCTTTTTCGTATAATAATAATAATAATAATAATAATAATAATAATGTAATACGTATGACGAGAGTTGTATGCACTTGGGGTTGTGTTGATTATCTCAGGCAGATAATGAGAGAGCCTTGATGGGTAATGATGGGTGTGTTGTCTCTCACAGGGGTTTTACGTAGCTCTGCGGCTGGTGGCCTGTGCTCAGAGTGGTCAGGAAGTCAGTCTGTCCAGCCTCAACCTCACAGTCCCTCCCCCAAAGTTTGTGAGTGTGACTTCTTTGTATAAAAACAAGCTGTAACAGTTTTTTCAGAATATTGACATTTTGCAGCTATACATAGTTATTACACTCATCAATCGCATTGTAAATAAGCCATTTCTGTCATTGTCATGTTATATTATTAAACCTTGTATCAAAAGCTCACTATGAGAGAAGAAGATGTGTGTTTAATCCAAAGAACCAATCATGTGACATTGCTGTGACAGCCATCTTTGTTTGTCTAATTTCAGAAGGACACCAGCAGTCCGTCTCTAAGCAGCACAGTGTCTGCTTCCGGGGAGTTACACTGGGCTGTCAGGGTGTGTTTAAAAGCACAGATAAACACACGCACACACGCACACACGCACGCACGCACGCACACACACACACACACACACACACACACACACACACACACAGAAGAATAAAGCAGTCATTATACGTAAGTGTTTTACATTGACCTGGAAAGAGACAGAAGAATAAGACAATAAGAGTAATTTATTAATGGAATCCTCGCAAAAGTATACAGATGACAAAAATAGAAACTCAGCAGAATACATCTCATTCAGGTAACTCATGCTAAAGGCTGCACTGAAGCAACAAACACTGTAGGGCACTTTTAAAGGCAGACAGATACTCAGCGACCAGATACATTACACAGAGGGTTTATTAGGCTGTTTTAAAGCCAATTTGTTAAATTCGCTTTAAAACACAAAAAAACCCACTAAGGAACAGCTTGGATGGAGGCTTTTTTTTTTTTTTTAATGCAACAGATATTCACCGGTCTAAGAAAACATCAAGTATCAAAAAATGTGGAATTTCACTGGTATTGGTATCAACTACTACATTTCTGGTATTGTGACACTACTAGTTTCACACAGATTTAATTATGTCCAGCATAGAGCACAGACAGGTTTATTTTTTACGGGGTCCTGCTCAATACATTAACTTTTTTTAACTTACAAATATCGATATTGGCATCTGCCTTAAAAATATGGTATTGCTTGGGTTGTAATATTTCTGTTTTGTAAACCATTGTGTTTGTGAATAAGCATGAGCTTAGTCAAAATATGGAGTGAGGCACAGTCAGCCAAAGTTTTCCAGGTGAGGCTTTTTAGATAACTGTTGTGTTTTTTCCTTTGTAGCCCGAGGAGAAGAGTAAATTTGATGGGATTTTTGAAAGTTTGGCTCCAGTCAATGGCCTACTGTCAGGAGAGAAGGTCAAACCAGTCCTAATCAACTCCAAGCTACCTCTGGATGTCCTTGGGAAGGTATTGACTTGGTTTCTTATATTAGGTCTTACAATAGGCTTGTTGGTTCCATGATTTAAGATTAAACTACTCAAGCCACAACGTAAATGTTAGAGTCAAGTTTCCCCACAAATATGAAATAGCATTAATTTAATGATGGCAGGTAGAACTGTTGTTCACAGGTTAAATTGTCAAAGAAGATGCTTTTTTCCTATGTGGAATTCTAGTAATGAAATATAATCTGTAATAGTTACCACTTGAATCACACTGAATTGCCTCAACATGTTTTTTTCCTGCTGTTAGGTTTGGGACCTGAGTGACATAGACAAAGATGGCCATCTAGACAAAGATGAGTTTGCAGTGGTGAGTGTTATTTTCTTTACTGTTACTGTATGTAGTGTAGATTCTCTATTCCCTGACTTCCATAAATATACACTCGGTGGCCACTTTATTAGGTACATTCATGCTGCAGATCCAATGTAAAGCCGCATCCAAAAGGTGCTCTGTTGGATTGATGTCATTGAAGAACACAGGAGCATTTGTGTTTATTTGCTGTTTTAGAAACAGTGATTGTGAGTTGTATCTAACTCAGTGGTTCTCTTCACGAGGGGTCATGAGGTTCTTTCATAAAATGTGTTTTTGGGATTTTATTGCCTTTAATGGATAGTAAGGCCTTCTTGAGTTTAAGGGGTGTAAGAAAACCTAAAAATATGCACAGTAGGCCTATATCTCTCTCTATTACTGTAAAGAAAGTAAAATACATTTTCATTGTTTAAGTTTAGATTATTACTTTAGATCTAAACTTTAAAGACCTGAACACAAGCTATATTCACGGGCCTTCACTCACAAAGAGCTCATAGAACAGTGAGAAACAATAGTCAAAAAATAAATCTATTAAGTATGTGTGATTGTTAAAAAAACACAATACAAATAGAATTGTATAAAACGTTTCCTAAAATAATCAGGAAAACTGTGATAACTCAATATCAATATCACAGGAAATAATAAGCTAAAAATTCATCCAAATCACTTGTTTTACACAAACTTGCTGCAGTTATTGTGTTCACTGTTCATCAGGTGTTCTCTACTGTTATACATTGAATATTATATAAAATATCCATAAAAAAATAAACTGTCACTGATTCAGTTTACTCTGTGATAGAATAGGCAACCACTGGTCCAACTAATGAAGAGATATTAAGCTCTCAAGCATAGTTAAACAGTATTATTGTGACCTAGGCTTACTGTACTGTGTACGTATATATAGGAAATGCTAAAAATGCTAAAATTAATATTAGGTGAGTGTCAGACCCAGCACGTAATCGATATTAGAGTAACAATTAGTTTTATGAGCAGCCAGTAAGTATGTATTAATAGCAGGATTTGCCTCCCCAGGCCATGCACCTGGTATACCGGGCCCTGGAGAAGGAGCCTGTTCCTGCACTCCTCCCCTCTGCCCTCGTCCCTCCATCTAAGAGAAAGAAGAGTCTCGGCTCCGTGTCCGGCTCCGTGCCTGGACTGCCTGCAAGCCCCCCACCACCAAAAGACTCCCTGCGCTCCACCCCTTCCCACGGTAGCATGAACTCACTCAACAGCACCGGCAGCCTGTCGCCCAAACACACGCTCAAGTCTGGACAGGTAATACGTACGCTGCACTAATATACATACGTACACCGATCAGCCATAACATTGTGAGCACTGACAAGTGAACACTGATTATCATCGTCATGGCACCTGTCAGTGGGTGAGATATATTTGGCAGCATGTGAACATTTTGTCCTCAAAGTTGATGTGTTAGAAGCAGGAAAAATGGGCAGCGTGAGGATTTGAGCGACTTTGACAAGGGCCAAATTGTGATTGCTAGACGACTGGGTCAGAGCATCTCCAAAACTGCAGCTCTTGTGGGGTGTTCCTGGTCTGCAGAGGTCAGTACCTATCAAAAATGGTCCAAAGAAGGAAAAGCGGTAAACCAGAGACAGGGTCATGGAGGGCCAAGGCTCATTGATGCACATGGGGAGTGAAGGCTGACCTGTGTGGTCCGATCCAACAGACGAGCTACTGTAGCTCAAACTGCTGAAACAGTTAATGCTGGTTCTGATAGAAAGGGGTCAGAACACACAGTGCATCACAGTTTGACCACCAGGGTGTCCAGGTGGTCACAATGTTATGGCTGATGGTGTGTATACAGACACCTTTAATCAGTAAACACACAATAATCCATAATTAGAAATGATTCTGGAATATTTGCGTTCTTTGTAATTGTAGTATGTTTCAGTGTTGATTGTGTAAAACCTGTATTTAATTTACTCAGTGATTGCAAAGACCATTGAACAGAGACTAACACATTCCAATGACACAACATCGGGAGAAATTTGGGGTTCAGGTTCTTCGAACCAAAAACCTTCCAATTAGTGGACGACTGCCCTACCTCTGAGCCACAGCCCACAGTCACACAAGAGCACCGTCTTGGTAGAACACCAACTCCAAATGAGTTCAACGGCTGAAAACGGCTTCAGTTCCCCATCAGTAAATCCCACACAGCAGTCTGTGCAGAGGCGTCATCGCAACTACCAGTTGTCACGTTGTCTTTATCATTTCTGTGTACTTTGTCATATAACACAGGATGATGGCAAACATAAACAAAAGGTCTACCATGAGTTGTGATTGGACTTCTGTTCCGCACAATTTGACTGGTTGATTTATTTGCGGTGTTAGTGCTCAAAAAAATCAACCATGATTATTATTATATCAATTATGTTGCCTTCTCGTTGCGTCATATTCGTGTATGTCTGAATTCGGGGGAAATATCAGGTTTTGGATATGATTCGTTTATCAAAGCTTATTATTAGTAATTGAAGGAATTCTTCTATTATTATTCCTCCCAAACAAATGCATATTCGGAAGCTTTCCCATGCTCGAAAACTCTCTCACTTTCTAGGGGTCCACTATGATCATGGCAAAATGGCACCTCAGGGGGCCCATAAACTGTACCACCCGGGGCCCCTTTCACCGATATGCATAAAAATAGGCACACACGTAGATCTTATCCAGACGAACAAAAAATCCAGTGGCCACCATATCCCAAATCCAACAGGAAGTTGGCCATTTTGGATTTAGCTGTCATTTCTGGCGATTTGCACACGTGTTAACATTTGAACACTTTTTGGGGGGCTAAACATGCCCGAAAACTCATGAAACTCAAAATTCAGTTGTGGTGAAGACTAATGTATTGTCTTGGTCCCGTAGATGGGCGTTGCAAAATGGCTTAGCCACGCCCCCCAGAATCAGCCCCCAAGACACGTATGACTTTCATCATTGGTACGCATGTGTATCAAGATGGGAAAAGCAAAAAAGCCTCTTGGACCCATAACTGTCTCTCTCTCTCTCTCTCTCTCTCTCTCTCTCTCTCTCTCTCTCTCTCTCTCTCTCTCTCTCTCTCTGTAGAAACTTGTTTCTACAGAGAGAGTAGAGAGAGTAGTTGTGTCACCCTCATGCTGGTAGGAAGAAATGTATTATGTTGTTGCATCTTAAATACTACTTTTTTGAATTTAAAACTATATTTTGCGAATGATGGACAATGAAAATGAATAAAAACATAAAAAAGGTGACATGCAAAAATGACCAGCATTTTAAATAATAAAATAAATCCACCAATTAAAAAAAATATATGTTTAACATAAAATACAAGCTGTTAATCAGTTTCTAAGATTATGTGATGTTTTTGGGACCTCTTGTAATCTAAACACAAAAATAAACTTCATGTGGAAATCAACAGTAGTTCAACAATAAACATTAGTATTTTAATTACATTAGCCTTTTTATGGTAAATGGCGCCTTTCTAGTCTTCCGACCACTCAAAGCGCTTTTACACTACGTGCCACATTCACCCTTTCACACACATTCACACAGTGATGGCAAAGTCCATCGAACAGAAACTAACATTCATACACATTCACACACCGATGCACGGCATCGGGAGCAATTTGGGGTTCAGTATCTTGCTCAAGGATACTTCGACATGTGGCACCAGGAGCCGGGGATCGAACCCACTACGTTCCGATTAAGGAACGACCCGCTCTGCCTCTGAGCCACAGCCGCCCATTTATGTAAATATTATTTTCTTATTGCTACTTTGCATTCGGATGTATAACATGGTAAGAAGAGACCACCGCATTTGTAAAAAGGGTTTCGTTATTGCAAGTAATCACACATTTCTTGTGTCAAAATTATAAAAATATAAACTCACACTAGAGCTGCTGGCTAATACAAAACAATACAGATTTTAACAGCTGTCATCAACTATGTTTAAAACACACTTTGGGTAAAACAAAGTACAAAACATATAACTTCAAATGTAACACACAACCCACTAGAGGTGGGCGATAATATCGTCGTTGTTTTGATGGCAAATTTCCATTATCGAGTATTTAAATTACTTTGCCAAAAATATTGAAACGCACGCGGAAACTCCTCACATCCACTTAATACACAGTGCAGCAACGCTCTCTACAGCATGGCAGGATTCAGTCACACGACTAGTGGGCCTACGTGATCACATGGCGTGATCACATGACCTCTCGCTAGCATCCTCCTTTCAACAGTTTAGCAGCATGTTGTGATGGTAGAGAGAAAATGCAAGCACCTCCAGTCCCTGAAGCTACCGGTACTTCAGATGATTTAGTGCTGAGACGTGGGTCTACCTCTCTGGCATGGAAATGGTTTAGTTTCGAAAATACTTTTTTAGCGCAGCGCTCAGAGCGCTTCAAGTCGAAATCTGTTCCACTTTTAACACCGCTGGGCCCTCGGAAAATGAGTTTGTGAGCGCGCTCTGCGCTAAAAACGCGTTTGGTGGACACAAGCCCTACCTCAGACAATACCAATCACATTTTAAAGGATATCGACTGATTATCGTTATCGCCAAAACAATAACGAGATATTTTTTTGAACTCTTCAAATGACGTGGAGTACTGTCTCTCCTGCTCTTTGCTTTCATCTGCTATAAAGCCATCTCTGGATTCAGTATCAACCCTGGACTTAGTGAAGAGCTGCGTCTGTTCACTCTTGCTTGAAGAGGTTTTGCTGAGGCTACACAAACCTGCGTGATCTCCATCTGTCCAAGTGATGTTGCTGGATGTGCCAGTAGAGAGGGGAATGGAGGCAGAGGAGGTTGGGGGCCTGCTGAGATCCTGAGATTCTTCAGCATCTTCAGCTATCCTCTCTGTGGCGTGAAGGTTTAATCCAAGAGTCCTTTGCCTCGGTTTTGGCCTGGGTGGCCCCCTCTCGGTAGCGCTATCTGCTGAGGACACGTGGTTGAGGTAAGTTGCTGATAACTGTGGAGTCATGGCCAATCGTTGTGCTGACCGATGGAAGAGTCAGGCGGCTCGTTTTCATGTGACTCTGATGCCCCGACGTCTTCCGAGGAAGAGCTGATCCTCTGGGTTTTCAGAAATGAAACTCTCTTCGTCCTGCCATGTTTGCCTTCGTCATCTAAAATCTCAAAGTCGTTGATTTTGGCTTAACTCTTCCCCGCCTTTAATGTGCCAGCCTTCTTTCTTCTTGATTTGAGGAGTTCATTCAAAAAATCATCTTCGTCTTCATGGAAGTCATCAGAGTAAGAGAATTTGTCTTTTCTTGTTTTGCTTGCCCTGGCAGAGACAGCAGCCTGAAGTTCATCCTGAAAAGTTGTCCTTTTCTATGTTTTCAGGCTTTTCTTGGGTCTCTGTAAATACTTTTATAAGGAGTTTGGTCTAGACCTGCTCTATTTGAAAAGTGTCCTGAGATAACTTCTGTTATGAATTGGTGCTATACAAATAAAATTGAATTGAATTGAATAACCCAAACCCAACAGGAAGTCGCTCAGTACAATCAAAACTGCAGATGAAAAGTTGTGCTATTTGTGACTGTACGTCCAACAGTGTGCCTGTGGCGCCATAAAATAGACAACTTCAGTTTACAATGTCCAATGTCCACTAAAGATCACATATTCTGTAACAGTCCCACCATGAACACGTCCTCATAACGTCAGTGTACATCGTCCAATCTCAACGAAACTTCACGTTTGATAAGAGTCCAGCCCTGAACATGTCTACATGACAATATTCAGATATAGTGATAGCGCCACCTACTGGCAACAGGAAGTAAGTGCTGCGTGGCGATTTTGAGCTGATTTACATGAAATTTTCATGTTGTGGCCTACACGAGTTACGCCACGCGGCCGCAGCACTCCCGGAGTTGCTTGGAGTGCGAGGGCCCGTTCATCGCTGCTTGCAGCTTTAATTTTATTTTTATTCTGTGAATTTCTTTTGCTTTTTCTGTGTGCAGCATGAAGGAACTGCAATTTAATTACCAGTCCCTCCAGAAAAACGCGATTATGCGATGGCATAATTCAATGCATAATCAGTCTGCATATTCATGCGGGGGCCGCATTTTTTCAAATACGCCGCACTTTTGCCTCATAAATTGCCGATTTCCGCACAAAATATGTGGGGCTATCATGATTTCATAATCCCTGCATTTTCATTGCAAAAAAGTCACATATATCTTAGCAGAAAGTTGAAAAATGTTGCGTTTACTTCACACGAGAGCAGCCATTTTCCTGTTGCCATGGGAGCGTTAAGAAGTGACGTAATTACGCGACATCAACATCATCGAAAAGCTGCAAACCCTGCGATGGTATTAGTAGTATGTAAATTTAAGAGATTGCACTTTGTGCATTGGAGGCACTTATTTTAACAGAAAATGTCTGTTTTGTATAGCTACCTCTATAAAACAGGAAGCACACATTTTATTTTTTTTATATTTTATTCATTTTTACAGAAGTTGTAGCATATTCCTTTTGTAAAGCTACAGAACTTGTTTGACTCATCAATGTTTTGTAAGTTGGAGCCATGTGTTTATTAAGGTCTGAAATAAAACAAGATGAGAACTTAAATATTCCCAGCACTTTCTGTGATGTAGCTAGTATGCTTGCTTATCATAGGAAGTACTAAGAAATGACTCTGCAAGGCTCCGGAGTGCGACCAATTTGGTCGCACATGCGACCAAAATTTTTAAGAGTGCGACTAATAATTTTCTAGGTTGCACTCGTGCACCTGACGCTGCCCAGGTGAAAACATAAATTTATTTTGCAAGCGCATCATCTCTCTGTGTTCTCCTGTGACCGAACTCACACACTCATGGTAGGATCATATCGTTTTCTAAACCAATAAGAGACAGAGCTCAGGCAGGTCTTTGCCTCTGATTGGCTGTGGCCCTGTTCACCGCGCTAAGTTGTGTGCGTTTAAAAATTGCTGAGCCCCGTTCCTTCGGCGACCGCATCAGACTCGGAACCAGAGGAGGAGACAACCGAGTCTGGGATAGAGCCCGGCTCCGAGACCCAAATTAAAAAGGTCAAAATATATTCCTTCAGACAGGACTGGCTAAAACAATTTCCCTGGCTGAGGTACAACAAAGGACGTAACGCAATGCACTGCCTGTACTGTCAGGAACGGGTCAGAATATGGCCAGAAATAGTGCATTCGTGAGCGGGTCAACAACGCTTCGTATCGAACTTTTATTTGGAAATGTTTTATTTTGCTTAGTGTTTTAGTTTGAAATTTAGTTTCAATTTCAGCTCAGTGAAGCACTTTAAACACTTTATTTTTCTTTTTATATATAATTGTGCTTCAAATAAAGACAAGTATTTCTCTACACCTTATTCTTGTTTAAAAATCATTCACATTATATGAAAGTTATGGAGAGTGATAAAAAGGTGACCTTATGGCGTTAAAGGCGATGCAATGAAAAATTTGGGTGCACCTAGATTTTGTGCACCAAAAAAAAAAAGTAGTAGTAGCCTAGTGAGAAAAGGATGTTGGGGGAATCACTTTTTTTTCTCTTTTTCATCATACCGCAATTTTTGCAAGTTCCCGCAATGTCATCGCATAAAATTGCATAAATATCCTGCATATTCCATCGCATTTTTTAAGAAAACGTGCCGCATAATCAAGGATTTTTGCCGGCAACAATCACAAAAAAACTCTGCATTTTTCTGGAAGGACTGAATTATACAACCTTGTGTTGTCTGCCCATAGAAGTTAAAACACATGCGTCTCTCTCTGTCTCAGCATTCTGTGACCTGGGTGGTCCCGATGTCAGACCGCGGTCGCTATGATGACATCTTCCTGAAGACTGATGCTGATCTGGATGGTTTTGTCAGCGGACACGAAGTTAAGGAGATCTTCATGCAGTCTGGACTTTCTCAGAATGTCCTTGCTCATATATGGTAGGGCTTCATGCTTAACAGTTAATATGTTTTGTTTTTGCTTATTATTGGATTGGTCCACTGGCTTTATTCATGGGTAATACATTTACTGATGCTTCAAAGATCACTTATAGACCAGTAATGAGAATACATTTTGCATTCCAGATCCTGTGCAGCCCTTTCCTGAAAGTAATTGGTCATATGGTCCAGTCAGTCAAAGGGATTTTCCCAACCTGACAACCCACAGGTTTTATTAATATACTCATTAATGGCTTAAAACTGATCTTTAAAACTTAAGCTAATTATTAAACATTAATAAAGCCATTAGTAATAAAGGGTGCCTTATTAGAAAATGGTACCATTAGATCTACCATTGTCACAAAACTCACAGGTATTGGGTTCCCACGGTCATGGAAAACCTGGCAAAGTTGTGGGATTTTGTTGTGTGTAATGAAATCAATTGTGAGTGTAATCTTCCCTGGATAACCTTCCATGTAGTATAACAGTGTAGCGATTGAAGTAACATAGCCCTTATCGATGCGTGACAACATTTTGTTTACTATCACCAACAAGTCTTCATTTTCCCCTCCGTGTTCCGTCTCTGTCTCCCTCCATGTATGCCAGCTAGCTAAAATTATGTTTGAATAGAGTTTGATATGTTTGAATAATGCTGGGCACTGCCAAAGTGCATTATACATGTCAGAAAATAATTGCTTAAAACATTACTAAAGACTGAACTATGTAGTCCTGAATTGCTGAATTGAGTTAGGCCACTGGAATAAATCACCTGTGCACCAAAAAAAAAAATTTCTGCCACTGTCATATCTTTTGACAGAACTCATCCAAGTAGAGCTGCAGAATTAATCGAAATATTATTGAAATAGCAATATGGTCAAGTGCAATATCAAAATCACAGAAGCTGGCATTTTTTTTGGTAAAAGTAAAATTTGTTACAAAACAGCATTATAATAAAGTAGTTCTGCAGAAATGGCCTACAAACCGTGTTCTCCAGATTTAAGAAAACTTGTTTGTTTTTTACAGACCCCAACCAATGTTACATCATCATTTTAATATTTTTTCATTTTAGATTTTAATTGTGATGCAAAAATGATCATTCTCACTAATCTTGAATCATATCGCAATATCACATTATCTGTCAATATAACCAAATTGTTTTTACCATATTGTGTGGGCCTAATCCTAAACACTACTATCAAGTGATTAATGGAAATGTGTTAGCAGACCAGAGGCAGTTCATCAAACAGCAGAGGCTAGACCACATTTTTTTAACCAAAATGGCTAGATTCCCTGCTTCCTGACAATTCTCAACCCGTCAGAATTGTACATGTTGACTTGTGGGCATTATAGAACCCATATTGTTTTCTTCTGTCACTCAGGAGAACAGTGTTGACTGTCTGCTCTTCCCTGCAGGGCTCTGGCAGACACAAGGCAGATAGGTAAGCTGACCAGGGAGCAGTTTGCCCTTGCCATGCATCTCATCCAGCAGAAAGTCAGTAAGGGCATTGACCCTCCACAGGCCCTGACTGCTGACATGATCCCCCCCTCTGAGAGAGGCACTCCTGTACCAGTAGGTCAAAATAAATTATTATCAACCAATAATTTATCGGCTATAATTTCATTATCGGAGTTTCCCATTATCCACCGACAATTTATTGGGCCCGATATATATTTTATATCTCTATTAGCTGGTATTATTGTAAAGCATGGCATAATACTGATAATAGATACCACATACAAAGAACAAGGAGCTACTGATGTTTTCGAAAGCTGACTTTTTGACATGGGATGGAGTTTTCTATCATTATTGTCAGAAACTAAGTCATTGTCTCTGTGGCTGCAGAGTATGTCAGGATACATGACCCCCGTGGGATCAGAGATGGCTGCTCTCTCTGAGATGAGACGGGTGAGTGAACACTTCTCTTTCTCTTCTCTCCTCCGCTCTGCTATAGATCCTGTTTCCTGAATTCCTGCCAAATCTGCTTAATTCTCTAAAAAAGAGAACTTAAAACTGTGACCCACATAGACATTTACTGCCCACTGTTGTCCTAACTATTTCACTGCTGATGTTTCTACCTGTCCTTCCTCCTCTCTCAGGCTATAATGTTCAAGTTGTGGGTAGGTAACATGGACCTACAGTGTATTAACATATGGATGCTTCCAGTGGTCGGCTGTACAGGCTAATTACTGGAAAGCATTTGCAAGACTTTTCTCTCCATTCCAATACAGTGCAGTGACATTGTCTCACCCTGTCAACTGTCTGGTGATCGAGGGAAGATTCAAGATCACTTTTAGGTGGCAATCAGGATTCTTTTAGTATTTTTGATAAAGCACCTGCAGTCTTATGATAGCAGTTGTCTGTGGCTCTGGTATAAATAGGTTAAATAAATCAGTATAATTCCAAGTGTAACCAGTACTCTTGTTTGATAACAGCTCTCCACACTCTTTGGCTAGTGTTACCAACAAATACTGGTGGACACAATACTGTAAAATTAATTAAAAACCACTTTAATGAAAAATTCCTCAATGTTTAAAATCTTGAATCATTCATCTCCTTGGCAGTTTGTCACTAGTGGTGACACTTCACCACATATTGGTGATTGACCCAGCCCCCACCTACTGATTCAACCTCTGTGCTTCTCCTCTTATTGAGCGCTGGTTTCTCTCCTATCCTCTCTTTTCCTCTTCTTTCTTCCTTTGGCCTGGTCTGCCATGGCATCATTTCATCATCCAACAAATGATCACCAAATGAAGTTTACTTAGCTGACCTTTTGTCTTTTTGTCTCTCTCTCTCTCTCTCTCTCTCTCTCTCTCTCTCTCTCTCTCTCTCTCTCTCTCTCTCTCTCTACAGGACAGCTCTAGTTCAGTGGGTTCAGGGGAGTTCACTGGCATCAAGGAGTTGGATGACATCAGTCAGGAGATAGCCCAGTTGCAGAGGTAACAAGGACTCACTAATCACTGGCAGCACCTAAAAAAGTAGGGCTTTTCCAGTAGTACTTTTGGCCGTGTCAAACCGGGCCGCGGTGATTAGCCTTTCAATTACCACTTTAAACGTGCAGTGCTGTGCCGAATCCCACCCAAGATGGACCTTCTCCAGTGAAGGTCCAAAGCGGGCCCAACCTGGCTCCTAGCGGGCTGTGGTGATGTTTTGCCAAATGTTGCTAACCTGTGACGATCACCTTCTCCCCCTCGAAAAACACGTGTGTTCCGAGACATAGCCCCTGTCTGTAGACGAGCAGACAGACTGACAGACAGACGTTTGTAGCTTCTAACTGAATCTCTGTGGAAATTTAGTTTCTCTCCTGCTTTATTTTACTGTTTCTTGTTCAGCTGTAGAGGACCCGTGATGAAAACCCAACACTTCCTGATTTTGCAGCTTCATAATAAAAGCATTTAAATAACAAAATAATTGGAGACTTTAATGTTAATAATTTATAGGAAGTTAAATGTGTTCACCAACGGAGTTGAGCTTAGTTAGCAGCTTTTCTTCAAGCGTGTAGCCCTGTTTTAATGGAGAGGAAATCCCTGCCGTGTTGGGCTGGTACGCCGAGTCAAACCAAGTTGAGCCAAGCCAGCAGGTGTGTATGGAAAAACCCCAAAAGTGTAAAGCAGTTTTACTTTAACCTAATTTTCAAAGCTGCATACAAAATGAATGGAAGATCACATAAAACATTTTAAGCATCAGTGAAACATTTGTACCAGCATATCTTTACGTACAGCTTTGCATCTCATTCAACCAAAATATAATGCAGTTACAACAATAGCAACTTGCAAATGTTACAAGGTGCAGCTTTGAGTTTAATTTCACTTTGACTGTTAACATTCACTCTATGATGAATGGACTTGCTGATGAGCTGTGCCAAAACTCTCATTTGTCAGCAGCCAACACACCTCCTCATTTAACCTCTAATGTTAGCTCCCTCACTAATCCATTGCCATAACTTGCATCCAGGCTTTTATCACTATCCTACTTTTAATGAGGCTAATAGTAATATTAATAGAGAATATATGTCATTGTCAAAATGAATATTAATTATCATATCATGTCATATCATCTTTTATCAATAATGATTTTGAGAAATATATTCTTTCCCTAAACAGTATCGGACAGAAGCCATTCATTATCATATCTATTTTATACAACTATACGTCTACCTGCACATTGGTACTTGCCCGATTAGGCCAGTGGTAAAAAAAATTATGAAACGCAAAGTATTCTCTGGAGCTGATGATGATAGTAGCCAAGACGTGAGCCATCTCATTTCCGAGAGATAGACCAGGTCGTCCCCTAATCGGAAGGTTGTTGTTTCGATCCCCAGCTCCTCCTGCCACATACTGAAGTATCCTTGAGCAAGATACTGAACCCCAAATTACTCCAGATTCTGTGCTTCGGTGTGTGAATGTGTTTGAATGCATTAGTTTCTGTTTTATGGGCTTTGCCATCACTGTGTGAATGTGTGTGAAAGGGTGAATGTGGCATGTAGTGTAAAAGCGATTTGAGTGGTCGAAGACTACAAAGACGCTATACAGGTCCATTTACCATTTACCATTTACCATCAGGTGAAAAAATGGCAGCAGATAAAGACAAAGTTTATGACCTAAAGCACAAGCAATAATTTGTAATTATCTTGGAAACAGGAGTTTAACTAGGTGTCATTAGAGGATGGGGGCAAAGGCCCAACTATATATTGCACAGCTTTCCGCAAATTTGAGAGCAAGGTGGATAAAACAGAGTGGTCGCTGGTGTGCCATAACAAGAGCCAACAGCATTTCGCTTGCATGACAGCTATGAGGGTCTTTGCTGTCATTTGAAAACTGCTAATCGATAAAACAATTTGTTTAGGGGCAAGTAAAAATTTACTGCGGCCAAGTAGATTTCTGACCGACTTACCCAACTGGGCAGGTGAAAAACAGACAGAAGTTTGGACAGCTGCCCAAACTTAACCCTGCTATACTTTCAGTTCTGTATGTGCCGTATGGACATTTTTCCGTGATAAAATGCACACTTGAAAAAGAAACATGCATCAGATGTGGATGAGCTTTACTAGTCATCTTGGCTTTGTCTCATCCTACTGCTTTCTTCCTTTCTCCATCCATCCATCCATCCATTCATCCATCCATCCATTCATCCATCCACCCAGCCAACCATCCACTCTTCCTTTGATGTGTGTATTTTATCAAATTTTTGTTTGTTCACCACTTATTCTCCATGCTGCGTCAGCACTCTTGCCTTTACCCAGTGGAATACTCTCAGGTAAACACACCAGCTACTGAATATCTGTGGACTGGCATACTGGAATTCTGTCAAATCTACTGACACACAGATGAGCAATGGTTCTGCCTGCTACTATTGTTGCATAGTGGTTATCATTAGGATTCTCATATGTTCAGCTTTGCTCATTATCACCTTGACGCCTGAGGTCAAGATGTAGGGTTTGAAAAGTCTGTCTTAATACAGTACGGACGTTGAAACAGATTCTTCTTTTTTTAAGCATTCCTCCTTCTCATACTGGCCCTGAAGAGATCAATTCCCAAATCAATTTTATTAGAAGTGATGGGGGACAAAATCCACAGGCCTCATCTGTGTTAAAATACATTCCAACATTTGAAGCGCCAGCAGTCTCTCAAGTGTCAAATCTTTCAAAGTTTCAGTCTTTTTAGTACAAAAGAAACTATTTCAGTTGGCATTCTCCTCCCCTTCCACAGTCTGTGTTATCACAGGTAAAACATACCATCTCCATACAGAAAGGCCCTGGCCCAGCTGGGCTATGAACTCTGGACCTTCTTGCTGTGAGGTGACAGTGCTAATCACTGAGCCACCATGCTGCCCCCCACTGTGCTGCAAGGGTACTGTAGCTGCATACTAGGCTGAATGCCTCCCAAAGCAATTGTGATTGGTTTAAAGAAGTACAAAGAAGCCATAGCAGTTTTTTCCCCCTATACTGGAATGATAGTGGGTTCAGCCAAGTGTGGTGACATTTTTTCCTCATCGATCTATGTTCTAAAATAACAACTGAGGAAAGTAACATGTTCTTAGAAATCTCAACAGCAGATTCTCTTTTTCTGTCGGTGAGTTTGGAGGGTGTGGCAATTTATTTGTTTTTTATTTGTTATCTGTGACATTGTGGATTTGATAGAATTCCAGTCCAGTGTCTTGTTGCTCTGACATGTTGATGTGTGTACACAGCAGGAAGTTGGAAGTTTTATTCTTTTTCTGTCATCATAATTATGCATGTGTGTGTTTGTGTGCACCTTTCTGTTCATATGTTTTTTTGTGTGTGTGTCAGGGAGAAGTACACTCTAGAACAGGACATCAGGGAGACAGAGGAGGCCATCAGACACAAGAGTGCCGAGGTGCAGGTGAGGACAACTTGTTAACTGGTCAATCAGCTGTAGTATGAACACACACATCACATCACAAAGATTATGGAAACGGTAATGGTCTGTCCTTGCCCTGCATTATACAAACATAAACAGTGTGTCTCTCTCTGACCACTTTGTTTATGTGGTGGACACCTAACTTTGGCACATGATAGGAGATGCAGAATGACCTGGACAGAGAGACAGCCAGCCTGCAGGAGCTGGAGGCTCAGAAACAAGACGCCCAAGACCGCCTGGAGGAGATGGACCAGCAGAAACATAAACTAGAGGACATGCTGAACGAAGTTCGGATGAAGTGCCAGGAAGAGTCTCAGATGGTGAGGAAGAGAGGAAGAACTGTATTCTTTACTGGATATGATTAATCTTTCTTTATTATCAGGATATGTACCACAGTCCTTTAAAGTAGCTGTAATTAAACCCCTTCTTAAAAAGCCCACTCTTGACCCAGGGGTTTTAGCCAACTATAGACCGATCTCTAACCTCCCCTTCCTCTCTAAGATTCTGGAGAAAGTAGTCGCCAAAGAGTTGTGTGAATTTTTACATAACAATAGTTTATTTGAGGATTTTCAGTCAGGATTTAGAGTTCATCACAGCACAGAGACAGCTCTGGTTAAAGTTAATAATGACCTTTTGATTGCTTCTGACAATGGACTTGTCTCTGTACTTGTATTATTAGATCTTAGTGCTGCATTTGACACCATTGACCATAATATTCTTTTACAGAGACTTGAGCATCAAATTAGCATTAAAGGAACTAACTAAAGCTAAGCTGGTTTAAGTCATATTTATCAGATCGTTCGCAGTTTGTACATGTTAACGATGAATCTTCAATAAATACTGCAGTTAGTCATGGAGTTCCACAAGGTTCTGTACTTGGACCAATACTATTTACTTTATATATGCTCCCTTTAGGCAAAATTATTAGGAATCACTCCATTAACTTTCACTGTTATGCAGATGATACGCAGTTATATCTATCAATCAAGCCCGATGAAATTAATCAATTAAATCAATTAAAAACCAGGAGTTTGTTGAAAAATAGGGGTTTTTTATTTACCCAAAAATACCAAACAATAGAAACCAAGAATTTAACATCTTAGGCCTATAAAAGAGGTCAACAAAATATAACTATACTCAAAACAGCATACAACAGACAGAATATGAACTAAACAAACTGACCTGCCTGAATGAGACACAAGGGAACATATATAGTGGCTTGGCCAAACCAATTTACCCACAAGGTGAAAACAAAATGGATGCCAACTACAACTACTACAAGTAAAACAAACTAAACCCAAAATCCCCCTCCAACATGGTAGCACATGGTATGGCTTGATTGGTAGGCCACAGGATATAACCATCCTCCACCCTTGGCCACGCCTTTCTTCCACCAGGACAGACCTCATTGCTGGCTGTTACCCTGTGTGGCTTGGGCCATCACAGTCCTGCTAGATTGCCATTACCAATACTGTTGTTGCTGTGCACCTCTCTCTCTCTCTCTCTCTCTCTCTCTCTCTCTCTCTCTCTCTCTCTCTCTCTCTCTCTCTCTCTCTCTCTCTCACCCCAACTGGTCGAGACAGACAACCACCCACCTAGAGCCGAAGGATCTGTCCTAGGTTTCTGCTTTTTAACGGGCAGTTTTTCCTTGCCCTTGTTGCCAAGTGCTTGCTCATGGTTGTACTGTTGGGTCTCTGTAAATAATGTTATAAAGAGTTTGGTCTAGACCTGCTCTCTTTGAAAAGTGTCCTGAGATAACTTCTGTTATGAATTGGTGCTATACAAATAAAATTGAATTGAATTGAATTGAATTGAATTGAATTGAATTATTAGCTTTTGCCACAGCAGCCACAGAAATAATGAAAAGCCATTCAATTAATGTATAACGTCTTATTGTACTGGCTAAATGCTAAATCACCAAGAGGCAACTGTGCTAATGTCAAAGGGAATAAATGTCAACCATGTGGTGCTAGCTCGTGCAGACCACATACAGGTGTTAATTTCATTCGCTCCTGCCTCCAGATCTCAACCCTTCAGAGTCAGATCCACTCCCAGGAGTCAGACTTGCAGAGCCAAGAGGAAGAGCTGAGCCGGGCAAAGGCTGACCTCGGCCGGCTGCAGCAGGAGGAGAACCAGCTGGAGCAGAGCCTGGCTGCTGGCAAGATCCAACTGGAGACCATTATCAAGTCTCTGAAGGCCACGCAGGATGAGATCAACCAGGTAGGAAACATGTCAACAGGGGGCACCATTGCACTGTATTATCTACTATTTATTACCATGGAAGACAGTATTTGGTCACCTGTACCACTAGAGGAACTGGAACACAACATTGAACTGCTTGTGTGAGGGTTTCATTCAGCCTCAGCTGCTGTGGTGTGTCATCTGTTTCCTACCAGCCACTCATCTCACACACACCACTTAACCACCTGCAACCTACATGCACAGTTTGACTTTAAACACACACAACAAGTGATTGATGCATCATGTAGTCTCCATTCTTTCTCCATAACATGCATGATATTAATCCCTAATACAGTTATATTCTCCTGAATGTAACAACTACTGCTGCCTCGTTGATTTTCATGACATAGTCCCCCTAGACCTTTTTTATTATTCATAAAACCACCACATAAGATCTGCAACCCAGGGGTGGTCCAGAAGTTCAGGCAGCTTGAGGTCTAAATCCATGTTATATCTTATATTAAATGCTAGCATGTTCCTATTTTAGGAGGAAATGCCCAAAATCTGTCTACTGAGTATCAAATACTCTAAAGGCTTCAAAGGTGGCTGTAAAAAGTTTTATTTTATAGAGAACAACTGCTGTGGTCAGCTTGGATTCATTCAGTTACAATTTAATCTAATAATGACAAGGTTTCAAAGGGAAAATATATCAAAACATATAATACAATCTTCTAAAATCACTCATTCAGTATAATGCACTGATCCATTTATGGTCAGAATCTTCAACATGGTGGACTTTGTAGATAAAAATGGCTCATTCTAAGGTAACAAAAACACAATTCTTATTTTCAGGTGATTTATTTATAGTTTATTTGATAGGGACTGATACAGTAAACATAGGGCAGGCTGAAAACTGTCTGATGCAAGTATCATAGTGTTTGTACCTTGTACCTTTTAATGAAAATAGGAGGTTAAAACAGGAAGGTGAAAGAGTAAACAGACTATACAAACATTTTTTAATTTCTGTCAATAGATCCTCCTAAATGTTACACACTTGACTGGCAAATTGCTGCAAAAAGTGGATGTGGTACTGTGGCAGAATAGGGCAACTAAAACTTTGTATATATTATATTGAAAGCACTGAAATAGTATTTACTTTTTATACAGGTGTACATAAATGCACAAAAATGCATTGGAAATGACTCTAGCTTATCTTTTTTACCTTATTATTAAAATAACTTTTCTCTTTACAGGAAAAGTCTGGAAGGCACCACATTTAAATTCCACTCAGCTCCACTGTATCAGGATGGGGGAAGAAATGTCAATTTGTTATCTGTTAGATTAGACCCAATTCTATCTACATGGCTTTACTCTTGTATATACACTGAACAAAATTATAAACGCAACACTTTTGTTTTTGCCCCCATTCATCATGAGCTGAACTCAAAGATCTAAGACTTTCTCTATGTACACAAAAGGCCTATTTCTCTCAAATATTGTTCCCAAATCTGTCAAAATGTGTGTTAGTGAGCACTTCTCCTTTGCCGAGATAATCCATCCACCTCACAGGTGTGGCATATCAAGATGCTGATCAGACAGCATGGGTATTGCACAGGTGTGCCTTAGGCTGGCCACAATAAAAGGCCACTCGAAAATGTGCAGTTCCATCACACAGCACAATACCACAGATGTTGCAAGTTTTGAGGGAGTGTGTAATTGGCATGCTGACTGCAGGAATGTCCACCAGAGCTGTTGCCCGTGAATTGAATGTTCATTTCTCTACCATAAGCCGTCTCCAAAGGCGTTTCAGAGAATTTGGCAGTACATCCAGCCGGCCTCACAACCGCAGACCACGTGTAACCACACCAGCCCAGGACCTCCACATCCAGCATCTTCACCTCCAAGATCGTCTGAGACCAGCCACCCGGACAGCTGCTGCAACAATCGGTTTGCATAACCAAAGAATTTCTGCACAAACTGTCAGGAACCGCCTCAGGGAAGCTCATCTGCATGCTCGTCGTCCTCATCGGGGTCTCGACCTGACTGCAGTTCATCGTCGTAACCGACTTGAGTGGGCAAATGCTCACATTCGATGGCGTCTGGCACTTTGGAGAGGTGTTCTCTTCACGGATGAATCCTGGTTTTCACTGTACAGGGCAGATGGCAGACAGAGTGTATGGCGTGGTGTTGGTGACCGGTTTGCTGATGTCAACATTGTGGATCGAGTGGCCCATGGTGGCGGTTATGGTATGGGCAGGCGTGTGTTATGGACAACGAACACAGGTGCATTTTATTGATGGCATTTTGAATGCACAGAGATACCATGACGAGATCCTGAGGCCCATTGTTGTGCCATTCATCCACGACCATCACCTCATGTTGCAGCATGATGATGCACGGCCCCATGTTGCAAGGATCTGTACACAATTCCTGGAAGCTGAAAACATACCAGTTCTTGCATGGCCAGCATACTCTCCGGACATGTCACCCATTGAGCATGTTTAGGATGCTCTGGATCGATGTATACGACAGCATGTTCCAGGTCCTGCCAATATCCAGCAACTTCGCACAACCATTGAAGAGGAGTGGACCAACATTCCACAGGCCACAATCAACAACCTGATCAACTCTATGCGAAGGAGATGTTTTGCACTGCGTGAGGAAAATGGTGGTCACACCAGATACTGACTGGTTTCCGGATCCCCCCCCCAGTACAGTGAAACTGCACATTTTCGAGTGGCCTTTTATTGTGGCCAGCCTAAGGCACACCTGTGCAATACCCATGCTGTCTGATCAGCATCTTGATATGCCACACCTGTGAGGTGGATGGATTATCTCGGCAAAGGAGAAGTGCTCACTAACACACATTTTGACAGATTTGTGAACAATATTTGAGAGAAATAGGCCTTTTGTGTACATAGAGAAAGTCTTAGATCTTTGAGTTCAGCTCGTGATGAATGGGGGCAAAAACAAAAGTGTTGCGTTTATAATTTTGTGTATTTATTAGGTGGACGTATTCCAGCTGGTGTGTGGTTCATAGTGTAGTTGTTGCAACTCTGTAAACACTGCTGTTGGACACTGTGTTGCATTACACAAGATGCGTGTGAGGTGTGACTGCAATCATCAGAGGGCATGTCAGTTTTGTGTGTTTTATGTGTGTTAAACTCCAATGTGCAGAAGTAAGCTGCCCAAATCAAAGAGGTCCACAAGGAGCTTTCTGAAGCATAGCATCCATACTTCCCACTGTCACTGATCTGTGTGTGTATCTGTCTTGCAGGCTCGGAGTAAGTTGTCCCAGATTCAGGACAGCCAACAGGAAGTGTCTAAAAGCATTGAGCAGTACAACAGCACCTTGAATGGAACCCACGGTGGCAGTATGACCAACCTGGCTGACATGAGCGAGGGCTTCAGTGACAGAGAGAATGGAGGATTCCCAGCCATGGTGAGGGCGGCACAGGTCAGGATTTCTACTCTCCTTTTACCTCCCAATGTGGCTGATAGAGAGAGAAGGCCTCTTAACTGGCACGTCTTGAGCAGCCAAAAGCACAATCAATAGAAACAGCTGAGCTAGCTGAAACGAAACTGCCTCTCATGTGCTTATTGCCTGTTAGCCCTGTTAGACCCTTAAAACATGTATGTAAGGGAGGAGTGCAGAGCTGATTTGTGTTGTGGTTGGAGCTCATGCATGACAAATAATTGTTGGAGGATAAGCAGCAACGTGGCTGTTCAGGGTTCCCACTCTTCTTAAGAAATCCTTTTCTATGACTTTTCCAGAACATTTTCCAGTAGTTTTTCTTGACAATACAGGACAGCACTTGCTCACAATGGTGGGCCATGTTTATGGAACTCTACGCGTTAGCTCACTTTCGTGTCATGCTTTGCTGTTCTCACCACAGCCGATTTTTCCGCTGTGGCCTCAACAGAACAGTAGAATTAATTTTATTTTACAGAAGTCATCAACCTATTAGGCTATTAAAAGAAGTTTAATAGGCTACTGTTTCTTGCCCCTGGATTTAGTGGTGCAGTAAAATTTGCACTAAAACACAATACATTATATGACAAGACATACAATACAAGACTGGAATTGAAAAACAAAAGTGTTGGGAGGAGTGCTGTTTCTGCTGTTTTGGTAAATGGACCTGTACTTGTATAGCGTCTTTCTAGTCTTCCGACCACTCAAAGCGCTTTTACACATTCTCATTCACATTCACCCTTTCACACACATTCACATCGAACAGAAACTAACATTGATACACACTCACACACCGATGCACGGCATCGGGAGCAATTTGGGGTTCAGTATCTTGCTGGTATCGTGTGGCACCAGGAGCCAGGGATCGAACCCACAACCTTCCGATTAGGGAGCAACCCGCTCTGCCTCTGCGCCACAGCCGCCCCACGTAGTTTTGTAGTTTCTTCATCCTCCCTGTTCCTCCTCCTCTTTGCCCATCCCTATTATCCTCTAGACAAGAGCTTAGCAGCCGTTTGTAGACTGGAGCATGCCAAATCCTTAGCTTTCTTTTTGTTATTTGAACCGTCTTTATCTAAAACCCTGCTTATTATTCTCTCTGACTCTCCATTGTGTTTTCTGCAGACTTGGATTTTTTTTAAGTTTCCCTGCACTGATCTAATCCCACAATTTACCTCTGTGTCTATTCACTTTACTCATAACAACATCATTACCATGGCTCAATCCCTCTCACACCTGGCAAACAGCTCTTGGGATCAACAGTGGGTGAAGAAGAAGAGTGCATACAAACTGCCAGAAAATGGAAATGTTTCAGTTTTTAAAGTGAAATTTCATCCTGGGGGAAAGGGGGTAGGTGTGTGCTGTTGTGTGGTGTAATAAGGGCAGGGTTTGCTCTCCGTTTATTACATCGTGGGTGAGGGTTACAATGTCTCTTATTCATAGTTGTGTCCACTTTTCACCATTTATATGGGTTCCTAAATACCTGGAAAACCTGGCAATTTATAGACCAATTTTTAATCGTGGAAATTGATTAAAATGACCAATTATCCTGGAAATAATCGATGTTGTCCTGGAAAATGTTGTATGTTGTTATGTTGTCACTCAGATTGCGTATTTAGTTTGAAACTCTGTTGTTGATAGGATAAACTGTGTGACACTTCAAAGCGGTTTTACCAGATGTAAAGTGGAACTGACTTGCAGTGATCTTTTTATCATTGTGTATTTTTTCCAGAGCTGCAAGCAACATTCTCATATCTCCATGCATACAGCCTATTAATGATCAATGTGTAGTTGTTGCTGTGGTTGATAAATACATGCACAGTTGTGTTAATTGTATGTACAATGAACAATTCAAATTTCTAGATGATAAATCTGTCTGTAAGATAAAATAAATTATACTTTGAACTGTTACTGATGGGCTGTAGCCAATGTAGTTAATTTGCCTGAAACTGCAACTAATATGACCGTCTATAAGCAAGTGCTGCCCTGTATTATCAAGAAAAACTCCTGGAAAAGTCCTGAAAAAAATCTCTGTGTGTGCGTGTGCCTGCGTGTGCCTGCGTGTGCCTGCGTGTGCGTGTGCGTGTGTGCGTGTGTGTGTGTGTGTGTGTGTGTGTGTAAATCTTCCTCTAATCTGTTTCTTTGCTTGTCTTTCTCCTTAACACAGGAGGATCCATTCAAAGTGAAGCCATCCGTGTTCAACAGCCAGCCTCAGGAGCCTCCCACTGACCCCTTCCACTCGGAAGACCCCTTCAAAACAGACCCATTCAAAGGTTATCCCCCCCTTTACTTCCACTGTCGCCCTCTATTGTTTTCTCAGGGTATTTATTCTTCTCTTCCTTCACTCGCCCATTTATTCTGCTCTGTTCCTTCCTTTTCAGACATTATGCATCTCCTCCTCTCTTAGCTGACCACGTGTTCACAGCTCTGTTTATCATTTTCTTTCTACCTGACAGCTGATGTTGTTTTTAGCTTGAGTTGCTCTCTGACTGTCGTCTGTGTCTTCCTCCTCTCTTCCTTGTTGTTTTCTTCCTGCTCTTCCATCTTCTGGATTCCTCTCCTATAGGTGACCCTTTCCAAAATGACCCTTTTGCAAAGCAGCCATCAGCATCCACAGGTATTTACTTGGAGAGAAGGGGCTCAGTTTTATTGCCTTAAGATCTGGTCACACCAGCATTTAATGTTGCAATATTCAGAACAAAATCAGTTCATTTTAATGCAGTTGTTGTTATCAGCCTATGCAAAGTCATAAATAAAAAGAACAGTTAGAGTGTTGACTGCTCTACTTCTATCTTAATATAGTATGTGCAATATTCTCCCTAGCCCGTTGATAATTAATATATTCATTAGGAGCTCTCTTTTTAACCAAGGAAAACAACTACAACTACCCCAACACTGGAATTCCCTGGCTAAATTGTGTGTTAACCCTGAAATAACGGTCACACACACATCCAAGTGGCGGCTGCCTTGTTTTTTGTTGACATGTGTGAAACAGCAGTATGTGTAACTGTGACTTCGGTCCCACTTCCCTCTTCTATGATATTGTAGAGTTTCACTTCTCTGCATAGTAGATGGAGATCAGTGATAGAAATCAGCCTTTTCACACAGCAGAGAACCTGCTCCAGCTACTCTGCAGTATATAACCCACCCCCCATCGTGCATAGGCCTGTCACAATAATTACGTTATTGACTTATCATACAATATATACAATATCTAATTATCACTAGGCCTGCACAATATGGGGAAAATCTGCAATGTCCAATAACACTGTTAAATAGATAAGATAAGATAAGATGATAAGATGTACCTTTATTGATCCCCCAAAGGAGAAATATAAATTAGAAACAGCAGCATAGGGGAATGTAGTGCAAAAAGTACAGAAGTGTAAAAGAATCACAAAATAAGAATATTATATAATATAATAGAAAATATAAGACTATAATGAAAAATATGCACACTATATGTGTTAGTGGTATGCAAATAATAATCAATATTTTGAGCAGCGTGTGACTAAAAAACTAAAAAACTAAACTGTACATGTGCATTTAAAGATAATAGTTTGTGCATCGTAGGTTGAAAGTTAAACTTGTCTTAATCTGGCTGGGTCAGTCTGTGGCTGAAAGTGCTCCTGAGCTGCCTGAGCTCAGTGTAGAGAGGATGAAAGGGGTTGTCCATTATGGCTTTTAGCTTCCCTATCATCCTCTTCTCAGTCACAGCCTCCATACTGTCCAGCTCCATCCCCACCACCGAGCTGGCCTTCCTCACCAGCTTGCTCAGCACCCCTAGTCCAGATGCCTCCTCCCCAGCACACACCAGCAAAGAAGATGACAGTGGCCACTACAGACTGGTAGAACATCCGTAATATCTGAGCTCAAATGTTGAAGGACCTGAGCCTCCTCAGAAAGAACAGCCTGCCCTGTCCTTTCCTGTAGAGAGCCTCAGTATGGTAAATGGTAATGGTAAATGGTGTACTTGTATAGCCCCTTTCTGGTCTTCCGACCACTCAAAGCGCTTTTACACTACATGCCACATTCACCCTTTCACACACGTTCGATGTCCATCCAAAGTCCATTGAACAGAAACTAATCATTCATACACATTCACACACCGATACACAGCATCAGGAGCAATTTGGGGTTCAGTATCTTGCTCAAGGATACTTTGACATGTGGCAGGAGGAGCCGGGGATCAAACCAACAACCTTCCGATTAGTGGACGACCTGCTCTTCCTCTGAGCCACAGCCACCCGTAGGTGGTCCGTCCAGTCGAGTGTCACCCCCAGGAATGTGTAGTTGTCCACCATCTCTAACCTCTATCCCCTACCACCAGCTCTTTGGTTTTCCCTGGTTTCTGTCGCACCATCCAATGAAGTTCCTGATCGGGTCTCTGTACTCTTCCTCCCTATCGTCTGCGATACAGCCGACAATGGAGGAGTCATCAGAGAACTTTTGTAGATGGCACGCTCCGGAGTTGAAACGAGTTGCAGCCAAAATTGTGATAACAATGTGACTTGCAATAAATAAACGAAAAGTACTGTAGTACTGAAAAGATGCTACAAATCTGAACTTTTTCTTCTATTAGGCTTACATTTTATTAATTTATTTTCTCCCAAACCTAAAGAAATTTCCTCACTGCTCTCCCAAGCTCAAATTCTTTTCTTGCAAATGTTGTTCTCCAGATTTAAGAAAACGTGTCTTTGGTATGGACCCCAAAAAATGGCACATGGTCATGATTTTCAATGACAATTGAATTTGCGATGCAACAACGATTGTGTCTACACTAATGGTGAATCATATTGCATATTGTCACAATATGTGTCACAGGCAATATCTTCGCTCATCCCTAATTCATAGGTATGTTTTCATTAGTGTATGATCACCTGAAAATAAGAATCGTTGTGTATTTCTAATCTTAGAATTAGCTGTTTTTAACTATTCTCAACTATGTTTCTGCAGAAGCCCATAACAAACAAACCAAACACTGGTTCCAGATAGGGCCTTTTGTGTTTTTCGTGAGTTTCGTGGCAACTGTAGTTTCTCCTACATGCTTGGGAGGATGAGGTCAGGGCATTGCAATCTGCCACTTCACAACAAGATGCCGCTACATTTTACGCACTGGTCTTTTAATATGGCAGTTTGGAAGATGCTGACCAGGAATGGACGAGTGTATAATAGAAGTGATTTTAGAAGATTCTATTATATGTTTTTACTTTTTAGGGACCGAGCCAGTGACCGCTGGAAGGTCCCTATTGTTTTTGGTCCATTTATTCTTATTATTTTTAAGTGTCTTTCACTGCATTTTTGACCCCCTGAACGTATACTTTTCGTGAATTTTATTTGGAAAAGTTGTCGGGCCTGGTGCGATATCAGATATTCTATGCGTCACATTCAGGTCAGCCACTAGGAAGGCCACTAGGTGGCGCTACTTTTAGGCAAATTTCGATAGGCTAATAACTCCCGCATCGTTTGTCTCACATTCAAAAACCTTATATCCACGCGTTTGGTGAATGGAGCTGAATCTCCCTATATAGGCCACGCCCACTTTGCACGTAGCATCTGGAGACCGTCCTGACAACATTTTTTTTAAAGTATTTTGATAATTCAAAAAATAAGCAAGTTATCAAATTAGCACTTCCTGTTGATTTTTCGTCAAAAAAGGAAGTTGGGCATTTCTCCACACTGGTTTGTCCGATTGACACCAAACTTGGGTCAATAGTTTATTATGTCTTCATTATATATCGTGCACAATTTCAGGTCATCACCACAAGGTGGCGCTCTTTAAAATTAAGAAGTTTATATCTCCGCATCGGCAAGTGTGATTAACACGAAACTTGGTAGGATGATTGCCCATGGCTCCGTGAAGCTCCCCTAAAAAGGAAAAAAAATCACGCCACCGGGTGGCGCTATGGTGGAAGATAATAAGCTGTGCGGAGACCGTAATAGTTATATATATGAAATTCACAGGACACATGTAGACTGGTGCCTGTAGCTCACATACCAAAAATCGTGTTTGTCGTGTTTGTAGCGCCCCCTACAGGATTTTAAAAAAGCAGCCCCGGTGCCACGTTTCACCGATATGTATGAAACTCGGTAGGCACGTGTAACGTGCCGAGAAGTACAAAAAAGTCTGTTGGACCCATGCCCCAAAACACACAGGAAGTCTGCAATTTTGATTTTAATTTTCACCATTTTGTGGTCATTTTGACTTTTTGGGCTTGTATTTGAACGGACTCCTCCTAGGGAATTTCTGGGATCTGCTTCAAAATTGGTCAGTACAGTCAAAAAATAGTACTGAATGAACGCTATTCAATTTGTGACTCTACGTTGAAGTGCGTGTCCGTGGCGTGCCGTCAAAGTTGGCCATTTTGAATCGAATGTCAAACTGTGATGTCATTTTTGGCATTTCAGGGCTTCTATTTTAACTAACTCCTCCTACAGGTTTTATTGGATCTACTTGAAAATTGGTCAGTGCAGTCAAAAAATGGTGCTGAATGAACGCTGTTAATTTTTTGACTGTACTTTGAAGGGCCTGTCCGTGGCGTGCCGTCAAAGTCGGCCACTGTGATGCCATTTCCGGCATTTCAGGGCTTAACAGATTTTATCATATTGACTTCATATTCGACCTCTGCAATCTAGACACATTGGTGATCATAAGTTAATCAAATATTTACTGTGCATCAAATTGTGTGTCCGTGGCGTGGGGCTGAATTTCCACCTTTTGGAGTGAAGAGTCTGACTATAAAAGTGTAAGTCATTTGCAGTGTCTGAAACGTGTGACGATGTAGAGCTGTCTCCCTCAGCTTCTGGAGATGACAGCTTGGGAGTTGGGTGACGTGAACATTTCATGTTGTGGTCCACACGTGTTACGACGGCACGTGACGCGGCCGCAGCACGCCCCGAGTTGCGTGGAGTGCGAGGTCCCGCCCAACGCTGCTTGCAGCTTTAATTCCTTTTTATTATTTCCTTTTTTTTTCCCATAACTGAACTAATCCAAGTGGACCACGGCAGCAAATTTTGTGACCACTGTAGTTTATTGAAGGCAGTCTGCAAGTCTTCAGTGCTAGATATCACCAAATCCTTCACACTAGTCAGGGCTCCAGACTAACTTTTTGCATTGGTTGCACTGGTGCGCCTAACTTTTTTATTAGGTGCACCAGCACAAAATTTAGGTGCACCCAAATTTTTCATTGCGTCGCCTTTAACGTCATAAGGTCACCTTTTATATACAATTATATATAAAAACAAAAATAAAGTCTTTAAAGTGCTTCACTGAGCTGAAGTTGAACATTTCAAACTAAAACACTAAGCAAAATAAAACATTTCCAAATAAAGGAGGACCTGATTACTACCACCTGCCGCTGAAATGCAGCTGGGAGAGGGGCCACTTTCTCTACACATTGTCATGGCATATCGTATGTTTTTTTTATGTATGTTATGTTTTTTTAAAGTTTCGATACAAAACGTTGTTGACCCGCTCACAAATGCACTATTTCCGGCCATATTCTGATATATTCTATTATGTCCTTTGTTGTACCTCAGCCAGGGAAATTGTTTCAGCCAGTCCTGTCTGAAGGAATATATTTTGACCTTTTTAATTTGGGTCTCGGAGCCGGGCTCTATCCCAGACTCGGTTGTCTCCTCCTCTGGTTCCGAGTCTGATGCTGTCACCGAAGGACCGGGGCTTGGTATCTCACCAGGGACCGAGGGCTCCGTGTCTTGATGGGATGGACTCTCAGTTGTGGGGATGGATGGGATTATAGTAGTAGGGCTGGTTGTAGGCTTGGTTTTCTTAATGAAAAACTTTCAATATTTCTGCCTCTCTTCATTTTCCCTTGTTTTGTCGCGTTTATTTTATTTTTCCGTTTCAGTTAGTCAGCTATTGTGGCGCTCAGGTCGCGCGCAATTTTTAAACACACACAACTTAGCGTGGTCATCAGGACCACAGCCAATCAGAGGCAAAGACCCGCCCGAGCTCTGTCTCTTATTGGTTTAGAACACGATATGATCCTACCATGAGTGTGTGAGTTCGGTCACAGGAGAACACAGAGAGATGATGCGCTTGCGAAATAAATTTATGTTTTTCACCTGGGCAGCGTCAGGTACACCAGTGCGACCTAGAAAAATTATTAGTCGCACTCTTAAAATTTTGGTCGCACTCTGGAGCCCTGCTAGTCCTTTACCTCTCTCCTTAGGAAAACAATGGCTTGCACCCTTACAAATCGATGCTACTGCTGGTATGTGGATTTAAAATAAACTGCGCAATCCCTGGTTCTGTTGCCTGTTAATGAAAAGTTTTTGAATCTGTACATTGAGAAAAATAGCTACAGTTGTCCATCATTCCTGCTACAGATCCTTTTGGAGGAGATCCTTTCAAAGAGACCGATCCATTCAAAGCTTCGTCAGAGGATTTCTTCAAGAAGACCACAAAGATGGATCCCTTTTCCACACCAGACCCCTTCAGTAAAAGTGCAACTTTACCCTCAAAGGTAACTAGTTGAAGATCGAAGGCCAGAACATAGAATTTGTATTTTTATAAATGTAAAATCTGAAGAGTGGCACAAACTTTAAAATCACTGCTTATTGTTGGGCTACCACACTGTACTGCATATTGTGGATAACTGCAATGCTTGGAGGAATGACATATACAGTGGGAGCCATAATTATTTGATCCCTTGCTGATTTTGTAGGTTTGCCCACTTACAAAGAATGGAACTGTGTATAATTTTAATCATAAGAACATTTTAACATTGAGAGACAGAATATCACACAAAAATCCAGAATAACAACATATACATTTTATAAATTTATTATCATATTTTTGCATGAACTAAGTATTTGATCCCCTACCAACCAGCAATAATTCTGGCTTCCACAGACCAGTTAGTTTTCCATTAAGAAGCACTCCTAATCTCAACTCATTACCCAAAACACCTGTGTCAACTCTTTACATCATTATGTAGCTGTATAAAAGACACCTGTCCACACATCACACATCAATTACATTCCAACGTTTCCACCATGGGCAAGACAAAGGCGCTGTCCAAGGACATCAGGGACAAAATTGTAGACCTGGACAAGGCTGGGATGGGCTACAAGAAAATAAGCAAGCAGCTTGGTGAGAAGTTAACAACTGTTGGAGCAATTATTAGAAAATGGAAGAAACACAAAGTCACCGCCAATCTCCCTCCTTCTGGGGCTCCACGCAAGATCTCGCCTTGTGGGATATCAATGATCATGAGAAAGGTCAGGGACCAGCCCAGTACTACACAGGAGGAGCTTGTTAATGACCTGAAGTCAGTTGGGACCACAGTCACGAAGAGAACCATCAGTAACACACTACACTGTGAAGGATTAAAATCCTGCTGCATGCGCAAGGTTCCTCTGCTGAAGAAGGCACATGCACAGGCCCGTCTGAAGTTTGCCAAAGAACACCTGGATGATCCGGAGGAGGCTTGGGAGGAGGTGATGTGGTCAGATGAGACCAAAATAGAGCTATTTGGCATCAACTCGACTCGCCGTGTTTGGAGGAAGAGAAATGCAGCAAATGCTGAGTACAACCCCAAGAACACCATCCCAACTGTGAAACATGGAGGTGGAAACCTTATGCTTTGGGGGTGTTTCTCAGCTAAGGGGACAGGACGACTTCACCGTATTGAGGGCAGGATGAATGGGGTCATGTACCGGGAAATTTTGGGCGACAACCTCCTTCCCTCAGTGAGAACACTGAAAATGGGTCGTGGATGGGTCTTCCAACATGACAATGACCCAAAACATATAGCCAAGGCAACAAAGGAGTAGCTCAAAAAGAAGCATATTAGGGTCCTGGAGTGGCCTAGCCAGTCTCCAGACCTAAATCTCATCAAAAATCCGTGGAGGGAGCTGAAGCTTCGAGTTGCCAAGCAACAGCCTTGGAACCTTAAGGATTTGGAGAGGATCTGCAAAGAGGAGTGGACCAAAATCCCTCCCAAGATCTGTGCAAACTTGGTGAAAAACTACAACAAACGTCTGACCTCTGTGCTTGCCAACAACGGTTTCTCCACCAAGTATTGAGTCCTATTGTTCTATGGATCGAATACTTATTTCATGAGAAAATATGATAATAAATATATAACATTTGTACAATGTTTTTTTTTGGATTTTTTTGTGATATTCTGTCTCTCAATGTTAAAATGTACCTATGATTAAAATTATACACAGTTCCATTCTTTGTAATTGGGCAAACCTACAAAATCAGCAAGGGATCAAATAATTATTGCTCCCACTGTACATGCCAGTTAATATTTATTTTCATACAAAACAAAATGAGCCAGCAGCCAGGCAAAAGTTCATAAAAATAATCTGCAGTTGAGCTCTTTTAATAAATCTCAGTACATTTTGTCAGTATTGCATCATATTTGCAGGAAATTAATAGCTTAAATGAACTCTCAGATGTACATTCTGGTCACAACTCTTAGTTCAGTTATAAATCTTGAGTCATTTCAGTGATCTTGAAGGCTGAAATCAGGTGTGTCCAAATGAACCAGACACTCATTTTTAAGTTCTCCATAATTATCTTGTGATGTCGGGAAAAAAGTGAAGTCATTTTCTCGTCATAAATCTTGAGAAATCAACCTTTGGTTTTAACAACATAAAAATAATTTCAAGCACAGTGGCTTCTGTAAGTTTTACTGTGACTTGATAGAATGTACTATTAACTGTATTTCTTCTTATTCTTCTTTCAGCAGACCAGTCACTTCACAAGCAATGACCCATTCTCTTCAAGCAACCCAAAACCCAAAGGACCAGGTATTATTTCATTATTTATTCCCCCACATCAAAAATGAAAGGAATCTTTGTGCTCTCCAGTGTTGCCATAAAATGATCTTGGTCATTGACATACAACATAGCATACATACAGTGGGTACGGAAAGTATTCAGACCCCAGGAGAGCTTTTCTTGTGAGGCAGAGAACAAAAAAAAAAAACTCTCACTGCCGGTGAACGACTCATAGACATGGCAAAACTGGCTCCAATCGAACCTCAAAATAGGCTGGGAAACTCGTCTACCAATTTGTTTGGTTTACTAACCTGCTATACCAAGATATACCAAGGTCACTATCCTTTTAACATATACAGTGGGTACGGAAAGTATTCAGACCCCTTTCAATTTTTCACTCTTTGTTTCTTTGCAGCCATTTGCTAAAATCAAAAAAGTTCATTTTATTTCTCATTAATGTACACTCAGCACCCCATCTTGACAGAAAAAAACAGAAATGTAGAAATTTTTGCAAATTTATTAAAAAAGAAACACTGAAATATCACATGGTCATAAGTATTCAGACCCTTTGCTGTGACACTCATATTTAACTCACATGCTGTCCATTTCTTCTGATCCTCCTTGAGATGGTTCTGCTCCTTCATTGGAGTCTAGCTATGTTTAATTAAACTGATTGGACTTGATTACGAAAGGCACACACCTGTCTATATAAGACCTTACAGCTCACAGTGCATGTCAGAGCAAATGAGAATCATGAGGTCGAAGGAACTGCCCAAGGAGCTCAGAGACAGAATTGTGGCAAGGCACAGATCTGGCCAAGGTTACAAAAGAATTTCTGCAGCACTCAAGGTTCCTAAGAGCACAGTGGCCTCCATAATCCTTAAATGGAAGAAGTTTGGGACGACCAGAACTCTTCCTAGACCTGGCCGTCCAGCCAAACTGAGCAATCGTGGGAGAAGAGCCTTGGTGAGAGAGGTAAAGAAGAACCCAAAGATCACTGTGGCTGAGCTCCAGAGATGCAGTAGGGAGATGGGAGAAAGTTCCACAAAGTCAACTATCACTGCAGCCCTCCACCAGTCGGGGCTTTCTGGCAGAGTGGCCCGACGGAAGCCTCTCCTCAGTGCAAGACATATGAAAGCCCGCATAGAGTTTGCCAAAAACACATGAAGGACTCCCAGACTATGAGAAATAAGATTCTCTGGTCTGATGAGACCAAGATTGAACTTTTTGGCGTTAATTCTAAGCGGTATGTGTGGAGAAAACCAGGCACTGCTCATCACCTGCCCAATACAATCCCAACAGTGAAACATGGTGGTGGCAGCATCATGCTATGGGGGTGTTTTTCAGCTGCAGGGACAGGACGACTGGTTGCAATTGAAGGAAAGATGAATGCGGCCAAGTACAGAGATGTCCTGGAAGAAAACCTCTTCCAGAGTGCTCAGGACCTCAGACTGGGCCGAAGGTTCACCTTCCAACAAGACAATGACCCTAAGCACACAGCTAAAATAACAAAGGAGTGGCTTCGGAACAACTGTGACCATTCTTGACTGGCCCAGCCAGAGCCCTGACCTAAACCCAATTGAGCATCTCTGGAGAGATCTGAAAATGGCTGTCCACCAACGTTCACCATCCAACCTGACAGAACTGGAGAGGATCTGCAAGGAAGAATGGCAGAGGATCCCCAAATCCAGGTGTGAAAAACTTGTTGCATCATTCCCAAGAAGACTCATGGCTGTAGTAGCTCAAAAGGGTGCTTCTACTCAATACTGAGCAAAGGGTCTGAATACTTATGACCATGTGGTATTTCAGTTTTTCTTTTTTAATAAATTTGCAAAAATTTCTACATTTCTGTTTTTTTCTGTCAAGATGGGGTGCTGAGTGTACATTAATGAGAAATAAAATGAACTTTTTTGATTTTAGCAAATGGCTGCAAAGAAACAAAGAGTGAAAAATTGAAAGGGGTCTGAATACTTTCCGTACCCACTGTATATGTTAAAAGGATAGTGACCTTGGTATATCTTGGTATAGCAGGTTAGTAAACCAAACAAATTGGTAGACGAGTTTCCCAGCCTATTTTGAGGTTCGATTGGAGCCAGTTTTGCCATGTCTATGAGTCGTTCACCGGCAGTGAGAGTTTTTTTTTTTTGTTCTCTGCCTCACAAGAAAAGCTCTCCAGGATATTAATGAAGTCCATACAAACACATACACAGCATGGGTCAGCTTGAGTGTCTCAGTGATTGGAGAACTCAAGCCTGTCACACTGGGACCAGTGTTAGCTGAGACTGAGGTTGGTTTGCCCATGAAAACCATGGCTGGAGAAAAAAGGTGTCACATTTGCTTACTCAGTGCTACAGGTTAATTTAGAAAATGTTTGTGTCAATACTACTTCAAGTACAGCTTCATAACATTCACATTGGCTCTGGTTCGGTTTGGTATTTGCGACTGTCACAAATAGAGCTGTTGCATGCTTGAATGGGCTATTTTATAGGGCTGCACAATATAGTTTCAACAGATATTGCAATTTGATTCACACATTTGTGTGGGAATGATAATTTTTGCATCAAAAATCCTGAAGATGTCGTAAATGGTAAATGGACCTGTACTTGTATAGCGCCTTTTGTAGTCTTCCGACCACTCAAAGCACTTTTACACTACATGCCACATTCACCCTTTCACACACATTTACTCAGTAATGGTAAAGTCCATCGAACAGAAACTAACTCATTCACAGACATTCACACACCGATGCACAGCATCGGGAGCAATTCGGGGTTCAGTATCTTGCTCGAGGATACTTTGTGGCGGGAGAAGTTGCATTGTGGCATTTGTTGAGGTCTGTAGTACCAAAGAAACATGAAGAATAAGACTTGAAGGCCAGTGCATCTCTGCAGTACTATATTACTTCATTATAAGGCTGTTTTGTGACACATTTTATCTTCATCAAAAATTCTTCTTCAGTTTCTGTGATTTGCATATTTCACTTTCGCTTTTATGCAAGGGAACAACTCTCGCCTGCTTACATTCCCTGGGAACAGTAACCTGGCTGACAAATTTAAAAAACGTGAAGAACAAATTAAAAAGTTGTGTGTAAATAGTTGCTCACACAGTGTCAAACAGGAGTTTTGCTGTAGTTTATGGTGGTGTTGCATTGGTTGACATTTTATTGTCCGGTGTATCTGATATTTGTGCTCCATGTATGTTAGTGAGGTATCGCCTCGAACAACACAAACAATACTGGTCTCAACAATACTTTATATTTTAAGGAAGCTGGTAATTATGGTCACTTATTGTAAATTGTTGTTTTAAAAAAATCTATATTGTAACTTCTTTTCAGACCTGTTTGGAACGTTGGACCCATTTGGCAGCAGTTCGTTCAGCAACAGCAGTAACAGCTCTACTGGATTTGCAGACTTCAGCCACATGTCAAAGCCCAGAGACCCTTTTGAAGGCAGGGCCAGCTGGCTACCAGACTACCAGAAGGTACCAGACGGCAAAGTAGTAGTAGTAGTAGTGTATTTCCTCAAACAAAACCCGGTAGTCAAATAAAAGTTGGGTCTTTAATAGGGTACCAACATTTTTTTTATTTGATACCAATACCAGGGAAATTCCACAATTCTCCATAATAATTCTATAACACAGCAAAAATGTCCCAGTCAAGTTTATCCAATTTATTCTTATCCAATTTTCCTTAATAATACAAGTGAATAGGTCTGCACTGCATTAAGAAACAATAAATTACAATAAAAACAATGTATTAATTTTATATATTGTAAATATTTTTTATACTAAATAACTAATGAACAAAGCAAATTCTCTGTAATCTTTTTGGGTCTTTTAGCTCTCTAGAGACACACACACACACACACACACACACACACACACACACACACACAGAGGACGGTGAGACACAGACTAGAGGAGAGTGTTGACAACATAGCACTGTGCACCAAAGTATTGCAAGTAAATCACCTGTAAAGCTGCAATTGGGGTGCACAAGGGTGAACCAACTTCTGTTAATTTGCATGCCAACTAAGCATAATGCACCTTTCCATTGCTTTTATTTAATAAATGTAACAATATAATCATATAAAGTGTTATTGTCACTGTAGGTGTATTTGTGTTCATTTTTTATTTTGTTGTAACTTACTACTACCACAAGATGACAGTAGCTACATTTGAAGTAAATGGTAAATGGACTGTACCTGTAGAGCGCCTTTCTGGTCTTGAATTTTTGAAACACGCTCTGCAAATATTTCACAATAGAAGCCTTGTTAAGAAATGAAGGGTTTCTGTCCACTAAAATGCTAGAACACATAAAACTTGAGTTTCTATTAACAACATAATGCAGTAATAAAAATGTAACGGGGCAAATGGGAGCAGATCAGAAAACAAGGAGTCTTTTAATAATATACACTTATAATATATAAGTGTTCCTGACGTCTTAAAAGTCTAAAATCCAATAATCAGAATTCTGCTTTTAAATGTGTTTTTAGTAAAAGAAAATAATTATTGATCATGCTACAAAATGCACATGTAAATACAGATTTTCCTTCATATCCTTTTTTGCCATTGTTGACGTGAAATAGGTCTTAAATTACATTTATATTGGTCTTGAAAAAGTTTGAAAAAGTCTTAAAAATAAAGGCATGTCTCTAACAACCCTGCTTCAAATAAATGCCTAGTACAACTTTTTTTTTTTTTTTTTTTTTTTTAATATACTGATAAATTGAACTGTATTGTGATTTTATCCTTTCTTTGTCACATTTAAAATGTCAAGTTTAGAACCTTTGTATCCTATATTGTGTCACTGCCTGTCATATTTATATTGAAATTACTGCGGAGTGCTAATATACCATGAACCATATATTCCTTCCTCTCACTCACTGTTTCCAGACTGCCTTTGTGGACGATCCATTCAGCAGGAAAAATGACACGCCAGCTCTGCCACCGAAGAAAAGTGTTCCCCCAAGACCCAAACCACCCAGTGGTAAGTGGGTAACCATAGGCTTTTGGGGCGTGAGAATAAGTGGGAAGGTATACACTGTATAGCAGCTTTTTACAGGCACCCATGTAGCCTATGGCTTACACCTTAATAATAGTGACGTTGTCAGAACCTTATCACAGCTTTACTGAATGCTAGATGTGTAAAGATTTATGGATACCAGTCGGAATTCGGGTTATAATGTCATTGGTGCAACGACATGGATATGCTGACCCCTGGATGTATCTAAATGTACCATGAACCGGTTGATGGTCAGATTCTAAAGTTATGCATCAGTTACTAAAGCTTTGCTGCTAACTCATGTAAAAGGTAAAAGGTCACCGGCAGGGTCTCACCTCAAAAGCAAAGAGAGTAACGTTAGTGCAGCTTGGCATGAGAGGTCAGTACATAAACAAACATGTCCGACAAGCTGACACAAGTTCCAGTGCTCCATCAAATCTTAAGTTTGGAAGACATTTGGACAAAAGTCTTAACCATTTGTAAGATCTGTCAGACAGCAATTAAGTCCAGCAGTAGCATAACAAATTTTAACGCTCACCTGGTGAGATGGCATGGTGACACATATGCAGGCAACGAAAAGTCTGTGTATGCTAATGCAGCTAGCACAAGCAAGAAAACGCAAGACACAGATATTGTACAATGACATGTAATTCTGAATTGATTTGCCTTCCATTTTTTTCCCATGCCATAAAAAACTGAAATACTTGGGATGTTTTAAAAAATATATGTATTTGAGGAATGTCCCTTTTTAAAGAATTGGCTTATTGTAATTTAGAATGGAAAATAAATGTTTACATTAAACAAATGTTAAGAACTGTATCAGATTGCATCATATTGAATTGTTCAATATTCCAATGCATCGACCCTGAATCATATTGTAGCCCATATATCTAGATACATATGGGATCGTCTTAGAAGGGAGAAATGCACACTCCTACTGAATGCTAATAATTTATGTATCTCATATAAAATAATGAGGTGTTCAACTTTCCTACTTTCCCCATAGACATTTAGCTTAAATATTGTCTCCACCATTGTCTCCTCTTCTTAGAGCAGTAGGTTCTATCTTGTTTTACTGGGGTTAAGATGAGTACTTAGCTGAAATGAGTAATTTACAGCAGCTCTGAACAGGACTATTGTGACTCTGGGGCTGAAAACACAGCGGGTTTAGGTAGCGACAGGAAAGGCATCAAATGGAGGAAGAGGAGTTTGTAGCGAGTTATTTAGAAGTAACTGATAATGTTATACATCATCCATTGTAAAACAGATACAGATGGTGTACTCGCTCATCCCTTTGTTTTACATTTTCATTCCTTCATGGTGAATATCAGAAATTGTCCTGTCTGTGTGCTATCTCTGTGCATACGATGTACTGTGATGTGATGTTATTGGTTTCTCATTAAGTGGGTGTGTTTGTGCTTGTGGTTAGCAATAGCCTAAGAAGCAGAAGCTGTGGGACCACTGGTTCCTTTAACTGGCTGAAGAAACAGCTGTTTTTAGGAGGTGATTGTCCGCTCTCAGCTTAACTTGTACACAGAGTGAGACTGAGGTGGACTTAAGAACCTCAGAAAAACGTACTTACTCAGTCACATGCAGAAGGTCCTGTTGGCTGTGTGCATTATGAAATGCCAAATGTGTGCCTTCATTGGTATAGAATTCGGATTTTATCTGTCTGGTGGGTCTTAATCTACCCATCCAGGCAGCCCAAGACTATGCATGAAAACCATAATAATCTTATGTTTTCAGAGAGATAAATGATGAAAATGCATCTGTAAGAACAAGTATTGTATGGCTGATGCTAGTGGAACAGTGGTTAGCTTAAAAAGGAAGTGGCACATTGGCTTTATCCTAAACCAAGATACACAATAGGTTTTTAATGTGATTACCACCATCATGCCTTTTAAGGTATTACGGAGTTCTTAAAGGGAAAAAAAGGAAGGAGAGGGGGGGTTCATGCACTGTGACCATACACATAATGAATAAAGCAATAAGTAAGAATTAGAAAGGGAATAAATTAGAAAGATACAGCAGTTGGGAGGATACATTGAGGAAACACTAAGATGTTCATAAACAAAACATGTTCAACTGCAGGGTTGGTGATAATTCTTTGTGGATTCGTTACGCATAGGCATTTGAAACATTAAAGCTGCAGAAGTAAACATTTATAAATATAGCTTTGTGTCATATTTGCTATTTCTGACAGTAGTACATGAGACAGATAAATATGTGAAAGAACTGAAGTTCCTTTGGCTCCATGAAGTGCTCCTAATGGCATTTGCAAGAATCCAAGCCAAGAAAGATCAAACTTTGGATAACACTGTGGGTTGGTGATTTGAAGATAGTTGATTTGGGTTAGGTCGTTAAATACCAACATTGGGATTGAGACTCAGCAATCAGCTATCTTGGTTTGTGTGTATATGAATATATACATATATATGAAGTTAATTTTTTGTGTTGTTTCTGTCTTTTCTAGGTTAACTATGTGTGTGATTCTTGAAATAAGCTAAGCCATTTACTCATACTTAACGCATATCTGGGATGTTAGTTCAACAACCACTTAATACACTTGTTTCCTCAGACAATACATACAATATCTCACTACAAAGAGACCAGTTACCTTGAAACAAGTTTAAAAAAAAAGATTCCAACATAGAACAAAATAATTGAATACGTTTTTTTGATCATTTTGAATAGCAACTTTTAAATAGCGTATAGTTGTAAGCAGTGTTGAAATTTAGATGTTGTCTTTTTTCTCCAAGGCAGAAAGCACAGTCTTTAACTCTACTCTGATCTGTCAACAGGAAAGAATGTCATTGTGGGTACGGAAAAGATAAAAGCCTTCTCGTGTTTGCCAAGCCACTGCTATCACACACTGTAGTTTGTAACACTTACCTGCAGTCGCAAGCAGTGATGTGCACTGTAAGGTGTCACTTTGAAGCTTTTATACACTGTAATATTGAAGTGATAGTAGTGTGATCGTTGTTTGAAAGTCTGCTTTAATTTTTCACATTTTCACATTTTCCAAATTTTTAACATGAGAAGATCAGTTTTACCTATGACGTTGACCTACTAATTATCATGTAGCAAAATGTAGCTTTTATTCTGTCATTTGACCTATGCTGCACTGTCATACCTTTGTTTGTTTGCTAACACTTCCTGGAGCTCAGTCACAAAGCAGCATGGAGTGCTGCTTGGGTGTGAAAAAAATGTTCCTCTAGTGCTCTTCAGTTTTGGGATCCTTCTTGTTTAAAATTGTTGAAGAAATCTGAGGCACTCAAAAGGTTAGTGATTCAAAAAGCCTTTAAACGTCCCGTGTAACATTTAGGAGGCTCTGTTGGCAGATTTTTAATAATATTCCTTTCCTTAGATTCTCCGTAACATTGCCACAAATAACAAATGATTAACTACAAATTCGTATGACAGCGGGAGCCGTATTTGTGTGAACATTCACATGGACTTGCATTGCAAAGATCGGGCATAGTTAAGACTATGCTTAAGTCTAGTTGGTGCAACTGTCCTGCAGTTAGGAACAGGCTTACCCCAGATGGTGAAACTTATCCATGATGCCTAAAAAAGAAGATGAGACATTTACAGAAAAGAAGAGAATTCAAGTTCCCCATTCAAATTAGGATAGCTTAGCGTAGCTTTCAATGTGTATATCCCAAAAATTATCTTTGTTAGTCTTTTTAATCGCTTTTTGAGTTTTTGACATTGCAACTTTGCAGCGTCTTTGCAGTGTAGAGCCATGAGGTATTGGGGGTTGCCAGTTCTTATGGCATGTTTTTATTTAGTCAATCTTGCATCTTCCTGGAGCTGTTTTATCACCATTTCCAATGTATTAAAGTCCCCCGCAGCTGTGTGCAGCACCTCAGTTTCCTGAGTGCATGGCATTGTGGGATACTTGTGTACATCAACAGCACAGTCAAAAATTAAGTGTGAATGCACGACGGACTAAATGACTTTATAACACATGAGCTTTAGTGTCTTTTTATGGCTCTAACTGCTGATATGGTAATAGATAAGATGTTGAATTTAATGCTTCAAATACACCTTTTTCACAGTAGCTATTTTGACAGTAGGGTTAACTAAGGTGTTACCATTGATACTGATTAAGTTTTTGTCAAACAGAGTCAGGGTGCTGCTATTGTGCATGTTGGCTCACTGGAAAGGCTCTACTGCACTAAATGGAATGAAACTTGATTTGTATTGTTATCATTGATAACACTTATTTTTACCCGACTATTTCATGTCCAAATGGCCACTGTGAAAACGATCTATTGTGGTCTTTCCAGTAACTCTATAAATTTATTGTGATCTGAAAATATGTTTTTGAAGAAGTCTTTTGAGGACAATGTCCCCTGGGACTTGGTGCTCAGTGTGAACCACAGTTACCCAGAATACCCTCCTCTATGGTTGACTGACTGACTCAATGGTTGTAGCAGGGAACTAGAGAGAAGTCTGTTGCAGCTTTGATGCTAGTCTTTTTATTCCATTATCCATTATTTTCTCCATTATTCCCTCTGTAGCGACAAACAGCCAAACTTCACATTAATGCACTCAAGATTTTTATGTAGATTTTATATTAGGATTGGTCACAAACTGCTGCTCCAATGTTTGTGTGTAGGTAGTTACATTTGAAGGTGATGTTGTAAGAGCGATGATATGTGGTTTGCTTGGCCTGTTGTTTGCAGACACACCCTAACTTGCTTCCTCTCTCTTCCCTTTGTGTGTGTGTGTGTGTGTGTGTGTGTGTGTGTGTGTGTGTGTGTGTGTGTGTGTGTGTGTGTGTGTGTGTGTGTGTGTGTGTGTGTGTGTGTGTGTGTGTTTACAAGGGTGAGTGGTTCAGAGAAGGGCAGGCTGCAGGCTGTATGCAGTGGACGAATGCCAGTATTGTTACTAATGTAAAAATAATTTTAAATGTAGGGTCTTTATGTTTTCTATCTTAATCTTATTCACACACACGCATGCATGCATGCTCTGTCACT